AGAGATATTGAGTTTTTTGTAAAAAAAAAAAGGGGGTTTTCGCATGTCACGCCGTATGTCAGAAACTATTTATGCTTATTGCATAAAAATACACACACAAGACGACGGGCGTATCATGCGCTCATGGCGCAGCTGTTTATTCTCATTGTTGAAGGCCGTACGGTTGCCTATAATTGCTTACATCTACTTCATTTGATCTTTGATGGATTATGAGTTGTTTCATTGGCAATCATACCACATCTCCTAATTTTTATATTGTGAACCTGTCAATAAATCATATTGTGGCAATAGTATTTATGAACCTGTTGATACATAGTATTGTGGCTATAAGATTTGTGAATCTGTTGATACATAATATTTTGGTAAATGAATTTGTGAACCTTTTGATACATAATATTGTGTTAATAGCATTTGTGAACCTGTTAACACATAATATTGTGGCAATAATATTTGTGAACCTGTTGATACATAATATTGTGGCATGGTATTTGTGAACCTGTTGATACATAGTATTGTGGCAAAAAAATTTGTGAACTTATTGATAGATAGTAGTGTGGCAAAAGAGTTTGTGAACCTATTGATACATAGTATTGTGGCAAAAGAATTTGTGAACTTATTGATACATAGTATTGTGGCAAAAGAATTTGTGAACTTATCGATACATAGTACAAAATGTATTGTGGCAAAAGAATTTGTGAACTAATTGATACATAGTACAAAATGTATTGTGGCAAAAGAATTTGTGAACTTATTGATACATAGTAGTGTGGCAAAAGAATTTGTGAACCTATTGATACATAGTAGTGTGGCAAAAGAATTTGTGAACTTATTGATACATAGAACAAAATGTATTGTGGCAAAAGAATTTGTGAACTTATTGATACATGGTACAAAATGTATTGTGGCAAAAGAATTTGTGAACTTATTGATACATAGTACAAAATGTATTGTGGCAAAAGAATTTGTGAACTTATTGATACATAGTATTGTGGCAAAAGAATTTGTGAACTTATTGATACATAGTCAGTGTTCCAGCTAGGATTTGAAAATAGAGGGGCGCGTTTTTAAAAAAGGGCACTTTAGCGCGTTCTCACTGAAAAAAATCAAATACTTAATATTACCACATAATGACATATTTTTAGCAAGCATGTAAGTTAAATACTCTATACTATTACATACATTGAAAATTATGTAGGTTTGGTTGTGAATTTAAATAAGAGTGCCAATGAGACAATTGTCTTTATTTCGATCTTGAGAAATAGATTAATTCAACAAATTAGTTTGTTAATTCAACTTTGAAAGTTTATTATCAATTTAACAAGCATCTCCGTATATTTCATGTTGAGCGTATCTAATAATATCAATAAGTTTGTCAAAACGGATTTCAATAAGAAAATTGATACAAAAATCGGACTTTCGAGAGCTCCGTAATCGGCACAATAATAAATTAATTCAACTTTGAAAGTTTATTATCAATTCAACAAGCATCTCTGTATATTTCATGTTGAGCGTAACTTATAATATCAATATTAAAGTTAGTCAAAACGGATTTCAATTTAAGAAAAATGATATAAAAATCGGACTTTCGAGTGCTCCGTAATCGGCGGAATTTACAATAGAAGAACAATTGCGATATCTGATAGAAACCTTTCTTCTTCTCGATTTTTCATAAAAGTAAAGAATTAAATTATTTTTTTACCTTTGATGGTCATTATTCTTGAAAAAAGATGTAATAGACTGGCAAGTCTTTGATATTTTCTTCTTGTCATTTTCGAGTTGGTCAATTTTTCTTTTTTTCGTCGGCATTTTGCGTGTTGACGATTTACAATATACTATTGGAATGATTCTTTTTTAACGAACGTTATTTTATAAATAACAAATACAATAGAAATGGACATCGTTCACATTTATTTTATAAATTCTATTTTGCATCGTCAGGTGTTAAAAAACAATTCATTTAACTTGGATGTTTGGTACTTCCGGGCAAAGGGATTAGACAGGGTCGTAAATTTCACCTGATTAAGTAATTGACTCTAATCAAATAGGTGATTATATACAGGTAACAAGTGTCAACAATTTTGATCTGTTGTCTTAATGAAGTGTGTGTATAAAGAACTCAACAAAATGGCGACGATATGAGGAAAAAAGATCGTTTTTTTTAAACTTTTTTCAAAAGGGCACAGAGGGGCGCAGGGGCGCTTAAAAAAGGCAGAGGGGCGCAAAATTTCGGGGGCGGGGCGCGGCGCCCCTCCATTTCATGCTAGCTGGAACACTGATAGTGGTGTGGCAAAAGAATTTGTGAACCTATTGATACATAGTATTGTGGCAAAAAAATTTGTGAACTTATTGATACATAGTACAAAATGTATTGTGGCAAAAGAATTTGTGAACCTATTAATACATAGTATTGTGGAAATAGTAATTGTAAACTTTGTAAACCCATAGTATTGTGGCAATTGAATATGTAAACCTGTTGTGGCAAAAGTATTTTTGAACCTGTCAATATAATAATATTGTTGCAAAAATAATTGAGAACCTGTTGGTACATAATATTGGTACTGAACTGATCATTCTTCATTTAAGATGTTAAATATTATAGTAGATACAATCAACCTTAATTACTACCCTGTAAAAATACTGGTATACATGTATATCTCAAAGATATAAGTAGCATGAGACCACAATTAATTTTGTAGTGCATTTCTTTAGAACAATAAATGCAACTTAAAAAATCCCACCTGTATTTTCTCAGTAAGATTTTTAAAGCATACTATACTACTTTTGTGACAACTTATAGAACACTTCATCAATTCTAACTCAAATTAGGACAGTTATGTTAAGGGGTCTTTATATCAAGTTGACGGCTTCAGAAATTCTCTTTTTTTGACCTTGTTCAACTGGATCAAATCACTATGTTTAAGCTTACTGGTAAAGTTCATGACCAATATTTTGTTAGCAGTGTAATTTCATCCTCGTTATATACAGAAAACATGAACAAATTAATTTGGAACCCACAAGGGTCTGTAGTCAACGAAAATCAAAGGGTGATAATTGTGGTGTCGGGCTAATTGTGTGATAAATCTGCTGTTATGCAGTGTTAATTTTGCAAACTTAGTTTCTATAAACACAACATGTTCTATGAGATGAGGAGAACTGGAATAATTTTTGAAGTCTATTTCAACATTCATGAGTATAGTTGTCAAATTTATCTAAAAATAAAAGATGGGTATATGGAGTATTCCTACAGAATAGAATATAGAATCCAATAATCCTTTAGGGAGTCTCAAAATAATTTTCATGAATTACAGAGTTATATCTTTCAAATAAATATCAAGCTTACATGAAGTCAGTTAGCTAGTTTTAAAATAAACTTAGATGAGTCAGGCAGACTGTCATACTTTTTCATCAGAAACTACCTTTTGAAATGCAGACAAGAATGGCGCACAGAAGTTTAGCTATATTGTTATTGTTTTTATTGTTTTGAACCATTCTAGATGACTAGCTAGTTTGTTGCTGGTTTACAGAATACATCTTTCCAGTTACAAGGCTTGGTAAATCTAGCTTACTATGTAACAGCCAAGATTAAATATATATATATAATTATTTCCCTCAATTTGACAGAAACTATTGAAAATTGCTACCCAGTAATTTTGGAGTCCCATTTTCACAAAATTTGTATTTGAAACTGAACAGAAATTGATTTCATACATATTCTGATGTTCCTTCTACTTCTAAATATATTCTTCTATCTTAAGGTGGCCACCATGAATAAACTGATTATTTCTTAAAACAGTGGTATTCATAAAAGAATTGTTCAGAAATCCTATACTATATAAGATGTTACACTGATAGGTTTTATCAGGATTTTCTTTATCAAGTGGTTGTTGTCATTTAAAAATATTTGGAATACCAGTACCAAGTCAATATTGATGATTATATCGGTCAAATCTCATTGTACAGTATTTGATTTAACCAGAAATGAATTGTTGGTACAGATGTCTTTCTTGTTGAACTTTTGGCAGATCATGTGAAATTGTTTGAACAAATGAGTACTTCTTTTGGAATTGTTAAGAGATATGTACATTGCTCTTTTGGAATTGTTGATAGACATGCATTTTCTTCTTGTAGAATTGATGAGAGATAGGTTCTTTCTTCTTTTGGAATTGATGATGGGCATTTTCTTAGAAACGATACAAATGTGTCATCAATATTGTTCACTAAGTTTTGCTTCCTTTTTAGTAATACATGTAGAAGTACTGCTAGTCCAAATAATTTGGATGTCTTGAAGGCTATTTTGATTTTTTACTTTGATGCCTTTCTGCATCAATGAGGAATCTATAATAAAACCAAAACCGAAAAATACCCTCAGCAGACCTCATGAATATATGGACTAAAAAGTATTTTATGATATGAATTTTAATATTTATTTTGATTATGATCCACAGTCAGCCATACCCTGAGCAGCCAATAGTACCCATTACAAAATATCATATACCAGTCTTTGACATTTTTATATTAAATGGATGTAGAATATCATGCTGTGAATATGATATTAGTTTATCCAGTGGATGGGCAGCTTGGCATTTTTTCATTTATTGTTTTTTGATATTAAATCTATATTAATAGATTAGAGATAGCCCTTGTTCTAATACCATGAGTGACATTTTTGCAATTTAGTTTAAGTACTTGTCAGGAAGTGGCTTATAAGTCAGTACAGCTGTTCTGATTGTATGTGAGAATTCCAGGGGATTTATCACAATTCTCTGTGCTGTATGTTTTGGTTGCTGTTAATAACAAATCAATTCATTATCACCTGAAAATACCTGAAAAATATGTCAGTGGACATTTGATGCTTTACACTATTTCACTGTCATTGATAACATCACACAAAGTTCCTCATTAGATGTTCAATAAATCTTGAATTAGTTTTGTATGATAATGAGGTAGTAAGCCCCTCCCTATCCTTCATTTCAACAGAGATATAGTTTATTGTCCGAGGAACAGCGTTTCAATAAGGGTATAAAAGCTTTGTACTGCTGATAAATATGAAAACTATGACCGTACTTAGATTAAGACTCCAAATTTTATTACATATTTCAACACATAAAAATTTTACCTGTCGTTGTGTTGTCCAATAGGCTACATTGTATAGACTTGTTGAGAAACTAAAAGTTAAAAGTCAACTAAGATTGTTTACCTTCATCTTGTCACCGGTTAATTAACATGGTCAAGAGAAGTTATTTAGAGACAATGAATGTTTAAAGTCTTTCATGTTCACCTGTAAACAGGTGATAATTGTGTGAGAAAGTTACTGGACAAACTGTCTCTTTGTTTAATTTTATGGATATTTTAACATTTAATTGAGATGTGGCTGAAATGGAGATATAAACTGATTTAAAGATGTGATTTCTTAAGAATGGGATCCGAAGTGACTGTCAGATATGGGATGTCGAATCATAGTTTTCCGTGGACTAAATTGGATATAAAACCATCATCTCGAGGGTCAAGTACAAATTCTAGTGTTGTTTCTAAGCAGTTTGGTCTTCCAATTTACTCTCATCACTATGGTCTTTCTAAAGCAATTGTTTGTGTCAGTGCCAAAATACACAACAGAAGGTGAGGATCAAATAATTTTTTTTTCTAAATAATTTAAAATCTGATTTTGTTTATTATTAATGATTCATTCAAAATTAGAATTTCTTTTCTATTTATTTTTCCTGGAATTTGAATAATGTATTTTTTTCCTACTAAAATATCAAATTAACTTGAATACTCAGTGTCCATCATTTACTTCTGATAAAAAATATACATTTAAAGCATTAAAAAACTGTTAGGTGGAGTGTAATTTTTTTTGCATTTTGTAAATAAAATAATTGTTATTTTTTTTTATTTTTCTAATGTTGAAAATTAAACCAACAGTGGCATGATTTTAGGGTTTTTAATATTTAAAATTATTAATACTTATGATATTTTTGTTTTTTGCAGTTTAAGAAATGGCATTTTTATATATTTAAAAGAGTATACAAAAAAAAGTAAATGTGATTCTGATAGTAAAATAACAAAATTGGGAAAGATCGAACTTTCTTTTCTTTCTATATGTCCAAATGAAACAATGCTTCATTGACGCAAGTACAGTTCAAATAATAACCCGGATCCACAATAATTAAATTTTAAAGACATTCTTCTTAAAAAAAATTTAATCAATATTGTCAAAATAAGGAAATATCTGCATGTATTAGTCTTTATTTTCCCATACATGTGTTAATTAAGTTAAATGTATGTGGTAGTTAGGGTGTTGTTTAGGACGGTATTGTCACCCGTAGCTGACAGTTGTAATTTATTATTTCTAATGAGATTTTTTTATATATTTATAAGTGTTGAAACCTTATCCAGTGGTAAACTGGCCTATAACAATGAATTTTTGTGACATTGGGTCATTAAATTGTTAATTAATACTGTACGCATTTTGTTGTTCCCTTCATGGTATGTGTCACATGAAGAAAAAATGTACCAAAAGACTCCATAAAGGCCATGATCTGTGCACATGTTTGGGCTTCATACGTTAATAAAAAAAGACTAATTTGCGTTCCGGTGCATTGTCTTCAAAGAGTTCTTATATAAATTATAAAGATAGGAACTTCGGTGAATATTAAATATTTTATGCTCCAGAAATATTGAAGACATTGGTTTTGAATTCATTTTTAACAAACAAATATCATAAATTTTGTTATTCGTGATGTATGAAAAATAAAGATTTTTATCTCTATTTAAAACGAGAAAAATAATTTATGATGATTTTTATTAAATATTTGTTCAATGAAATTTAAATCAGATAAACATTGTGCTTTGAATTTGATGCTATATATATATATAGTCATTTGTTTATGTTGTGGCTGCTATTTATTAACAGTGCTCTTAAGTCAAGTAAAGATAATTTTAAAATGATTTTGAAATTTATAAATTTACTTAATTTAATTTGGTGGGGTTTGTTCAGTCTTTAATTTCTATGTAGTGTTTTGTGTAATTTTGTGTCCTTTCATCGTCTTTCATGGCATTGTCGGATTCCCTTAAACTTGTGGGTTTTGAATGTCCCCTTGTAGTCTCCCCCCCCCCCCCCTGTTTTTTTAAAATATAAATTAGGATGTAATCATATAGAAATGATACACTATGTAATGTTTCAAAAGGCTCCCTGCATGATGCTGTTGTACTGTTTTTCTATTAACTTGTAGTCTGAATTGGGTATAAAATAGTTTAAAAAGCAATGAGCACATTTTCATTCTGTGTTTTTCTATTAACCAATTATATCATAACATGAAAATGAAGGTTTATAGATATAAGAAGATGTGGTATGAGTGCCAATGAGACAACTCTCCATCCAAGTATGTCTTTTTTCCTTTCAAGAAACATATAAAGTATGAAGCAAATACCATCTCATTTATGACCAGGATTTTGAAATTGTAATTCTCAGTAGTGGTCATCCATTGTGTTTATGGTCCTTTTTAAAAATGATTCCAGAAAAAAGATATTTTTATGGTAAGTTTTATGATTAAATTGATTCAGATATTTCTAATTTGTATGTTGTAGCATACTAGCTTTCAAGTATACTAAACAAAAATTTTGTAATAACTCTTCATTGTGTCATGATAATTTAAGAGACAAGCAACACATTTTACGTAACAACAACAAATATTTTTGCTAGGAGGGATACGTTTGCAGCCATTCTTTGCATATCTCTTTGCATTTAAAGAAAAAGTTCTAAATTGAAGTATTGGACCAAGTTTTTAGGCCACCCAGTAAAAAGATCAAAGTAAAATAAGTAAATAAAGATACAGATGAAAAGAAACTCTGTATTTAGTTCTGTTATATATTCAGAGACAGAATCCTTGGACATTGTAATAATATTAAAATGAGGGAGAAATGTGTGTTACTGGATGTTTTCATTGTGTTATTCAAGATATGTATTGTTGTGGTTAATTGTTTTGGACACTTTCATCAAACTGTCAAAACTTTATTACTCATTATTGACAAATGGATTGAGAAAGCAAAGAGTGTTGCTTTATATTTAAGACAATTGAATTGAGGTCTTTGTCAATGAATGGGTCCATCATTGTCAAAAGTATTGTGGAGTTTTTGGCCCAACAAATTTACTCTAAAGTGTTTACAAATCTGCATTGAAGTTTGTTGTTTGGAAGCAATGTTCAGAGTTCACATAGTCAAACTTATATGAAATAACCAAGAAAGATGTTGTTAAAAATTGAATCTAGAAGTAGACTGGCAATATGGACAAAAATATGACTTATTATTTTAAAGGAAGAAAGCCTAAACACACAACCATTTCATTTCTTGTCACACAAGTATTTAACTTTTATTTCATTTTTGTAATTAAACATACGAAAAATAAGATATATATTCACTCTAACATGAAAAATTTGATTATTTTTAGTTTTATTTACTTAGATACAGTGTTACAATGTTGCAAATTTAATAAAAGTTTAGTGACATTGGATAATGTTAGATAATTGAATTTGTTTTAGATTAGTGTTGGTCAGTTGGTAACAATGATAAGATATGGTAGTTATTGACCGTTGATATTGACTGACTTTGCTTCCTAGTTATTGTGAAGAAGGCTTGTTGACTTAAGACGTTGAGCGGTCATGTATAAAAGCACCATTGAACAAAGACCGTACAAATACCAGCCTTTGTTGTCATTATATACCTTGTCTAACTGTTGATTGATTGTTATAATACCTTTAGTACTAGCTGCCATTTTATCGGCAAATGGATTTTACCAAACTTGAATTCGTTGATTCCCATAATGCTACAACAACATAAAACAAATTGTAGAGATATGTTTTTAACGGAAAATGTTTTACTGATAGAGAAAATTTGTCAGGAATTTGTTAGAATTCCAGTTCCTTAGCCATTGTTTCTTGTCTGCTTATTAAAAACTTGAAATTTAACAAGTTAAAGTAAATCAATGTACTAAGAAATGATTAAAGTTAAAACATAGTAATCTGGTGTCTGGGTCTCGAAAAAGGTGTGAAAGGGATGGTTAACAATCTTCTTTCTGATATAACTTTACATGGTGATACTTGTGTTTGTTTGTTTATGCATCAAAATAATCTATGGGTTTTTTTCTAAAAGGATATGATTTCCCTCAAAACAATCTTGATTCTGTTGATCTTCAAATACGTTACATTTTGTACTATGTTTTGAACTTTTTTTAGCAGTGTTTTCCTGGATATTCCCTTTTACTTTGCAAATTAAATCCAAAACTGTAGAGGGGTCAGAAAGTTTATGTAATTGAACTAATTGATTCAATGTTTTGAATTGCTTTTGCCTCTTGTAAATAATGTCATCGTAACTTTAGTGCTTACTTTATATAAGTTTAAATAAGTTTAAACAAACAAATGTTACTTGAGAGCTATGTTTACTGTTACACAACTTATTGCTAAGCATATATAAACCAGGATGTTACTTAATTTAAAATTTCATTTTTCTTTGTGAATGTTTTATTCCATTAAAAAAATATTTTATGTGATGTTGGTTTGCAAGGTTATTAGGAGACTTTACATTTGTTGTAACAAGAATCAGCTGACAGATATTTGTATACAATTATCTTTTTAAAAACAGTTCTAAAATCGCTTAAATTCATCTGCAGTTGTTCCCCTGACCTTGCCCATTGGTCTTTGATCATAGTTTCTCTCACTGGCAACCGTACTGCATATCCTTAGTTTAATACAATACAAAAAAATTGCTATAGGTTTTCAGAATTCAAATAAAAATGAAAACCTTTGATAATATTTATATACAGTAAAGTGTGTAGAAGACCTGTCAACTCCAAAAGGAGTCTGGGTTAATATTTCTTTAGTTTTACTGTGACATTTTTTAATGTTGATTAAAGCTGTACAGTACCATCAACCTTTCCGATGAACTTGGCTGTATAGAGAAAGTTCAGTCAAAAAAAATTTACTGGTTAAGTTTAAATTATATTTTTTACCACATCTGCACTCCAGCAGTATTAGTTTCATGTAGTAGAATTGCGGTGTTGAAGATTTGGCTCCAATAAGGTTCTGAGCTTACAGTTCTTCTGGATACAGTGAAGAAGAAACAGCTTAAAAAAATTTCCTGACTTTGCTATAAACCTAGTGAAAAAAACTAACGTATATATCTTTTTTCTGACTATTAAAAAGTAACAAATCACTAAAGATCTGATGTGTTTTATTATATTTTTTTTCTTTCATCTGCATGATGTTTCTTTTTCAAATTGAATGCTATTGAGTACAAAATAGAGAGAAAAAGGCATAAATCAACTGAAAACATTCCAAGGTATAATTTGAGTACATTTAGTAGGTTGGTTTTAAAATGTCCCATAATTTTACAAGAATAATAAATTAATTGTTGACAATGTCATCTGTTTTGTTGCTATACTGTAACACTACCTATTACGAGCATTTTATTGTCAGATTTTTTGTTGATAGGACATTTTTGTGACAATAAATGGATTTTATATTAGTAACATCCTTATATTTATTGAGATACTGATTTAGAGGTGCATTGCTGTGGTAAATTATGGTGTCTTTGTGTGGTGACACATGATGGCATGCTTACACTTGTTTCTTCAAATACTTTACATCACATTAAAGGTACCTTTTACAGGTTAGAAGGGTATCTTGGATATTTTTCAGCTCTGGTTGAAATAAATACCATATATATAATTCATTCGCGTGTTAAAGTTACATTCCTAGGCATTTATATAATTTAATTTAGAAACTGCATCAGTTTTTTTTTAAACTGATCCACACCAAGATAGATTATATGTTTTTCGTTGCTACATTGTATTTTTATACCTGGCATATATATATATTGTAGTTCATTTTCTAGGGCACTTTTGGGACCATATGTCTACAAGTCCTATGCCAAATGCTTGTTAAATCCTACCAATCTCAAATTTATTTTTAAATCTGATTTTATTTCACAAGAAATGATTTTCTTTGTGGGAAAAAAAATATTCTCGTAAATTTTTTTTTTTGGTGTAATGATCATATTTTAGTACTTGCAAAGGTAACTGCTTTTCTCAATTGAGCTTTTGTGAAAACATGAAAAAGAAACAAAGCAAAAAGAATTTCCTGAGTGAGCAGTGACCAAGCTTGAACTTTGTAAATGTCCTTGGTCATGTGAAGACACAGTATAACCCAGTAATCTGTCAAATGAGTTGATTGTCATGGCTTTAAATAATCAGTCAGCCTGGTGGAAACAAAATCTCATCCAGTGATTTCTTATTGCTCAGGTCATTTAGTCTATTTCACTCCACAAGGATAAAATACCAGCAGATTGTACATTGAAAGATATCTTAATTGCACATAAACACTTACAGTTACACCTTATAAGGCATTGAAAAAATCTTTAATTGCTAATTAAGACTAAAAGAACCTGCCAAAAGCCGTTCTCTATTGAGGAGGAATATTTTCCTTTTTATAAAGTTTATTGTATTGATACATCATTATTATATATATTCATTTCCATTTTCAGACGGGGTTTTCGCCAAGATGATGCTACATCAGCTTTTGTGAAGTCATCGGAGACATCTAATGCACAATTCTTGCCAGCAGAATATTTACGTACAGTCAATGAAGCACTAACAAGGTAATGTATACTCATGTTTACACTTTTGACATATAGTCACAGTGAGACACATAATAATTCTAAAAAGAACGACTTAAGTCTCTGTTCAGTATAACTAGTTAGAATTTGGACAAAATCTTTTTAAAAGTTTATTTATGAACTCTAACCTAGCATGTAATGACTTGTCTTCTCAGTAGCCTCACTAAGTCAAAATTCTATTTCTAGTTTTATAAACACCTTGAATACATGTCCAGTTCTGCCATAATAATATTTATTGCTGTCATATGAACAATAAAAATATAAAATTAGTAAGATTGTATTTTGCATACTAGTATTTTAAGCTGATATTTAACACTTGGGTAACAACCATATGCTTCCAGCAAATATTTGCAGGTGTATAAAATTTAATGGTCTTTTCAGGACTATAAAATAGAATCTCATAAAATGAAGTAAAATTTATTCTGTGTTTTATTGGTGGATTTTCATGTGATGTAGGAATAGACATTGCACCATCTATTTAATCCTCCTCAATATACCTTGTGATTGTTAAAATTTTAGTTTTCTCTGCAATAAAACAAATATTTATTGTGGTATTTTATTTATACTCTATTATGAATGTGTATGATGGTTACACTCCATTACGTATGGTTATATGGTGGTTTACATGACTTTACAGGTGAAGTTGATGTAACTGTTTGAGCAATTATATTTTTGGCCTGTTGAAGTAGAAATTTAGTTTATGAATGTAAATTTGAAGCCAACAATAAACACTACTGTTTCTGTGTTGTATTCCATAGTCATTATTTGGTAATGTGACTTATAGTTGCTTATATCTATGTCATTTGAACTCAGGTGGAAAGTTAAATTGTCTCCTTATTTTTATAGTAAATGTAGTCTTTGCTTAGTAACCAATAGTTGTTACCTGGTTGGCTAGTAATAATTGTTTCTGTGCAGTACCTGGTTGGCTAATAAATGTAGTTTCTGCTCAGTATCCAATAGTTGTTACCTGGTTGGCTAGTAACAGGAGTTGTTTCTGCTCTGTACCTGGTAGGCTAGTAAATGTAATTTCTGCCCAATATCCAATAGTTGTTACCTAGTTGGCTAGTAACAGGAGTTGTTTCTGCTCAGTACATGGTAGGCTAGTGAATGTAGTTTATGCTTTGTATCCAATAGTTGTTATCTGGTTGGCTAGTAAAATGAGTTATTTCTGCTCAGTATCTGGTAGGTTAGAAAAATGTAGTTTCTGCTCAGTATCCAATAGTTGTTACCTGGTTGGCTAGTAACAGGAGTTGTTTCTGCTCAGTACCTGATAGGCTAGTAAATGTAGTTTCTGCTCAGTATCCAATAGTTGTTATCTGGTTGGCTAGTAATAGTTGTTTCTGCACAGTACCTGGTTGGCTAATAAATGTAGTGTCTGCTCAGTATCCAATAGTTGTTACCTGGTTGGCTAGTAATAGTTGTTTCTGCTCATTACCTGGTAGGCTAAAAAATGTAGTTTCTGCTCAGTATCCAATAGTTGTTACCTGGTTGGCTAGTAACAGGAGTTGTTTCTGCTCAGTACCTGGTAGGCTAGTAAATGTAGTTTCTGCGTAGTATCCAATACTTGTTACCTGGTTGGCTAGTAACAGGTATTGTTTCTGCTCAGTGCCTGGTTGGTTAGTAACAGGAGTAGTTGTCTGCCTTTGCTAATAGTACACAAAAACTTATTGGCTAGCTATTTTATTTATTTTGGTTTAAAAGTTTTAAAAAAAAATGAATTTACACCGGATATGTAAGATTCCAAAACTGATTTATTGAGGATTTCCGCTTGGTCTTTGTATTCTGTGACAGCATTTCTCTTTTATTGCTGTCTGACTGTTTGGCCTTATTTGAATTCCTATTAATGATGACTACTGGAGGTGAGAGAAGAAAAATAATAACAATGGTTTTTATGTACTATTTAAAGATGGATTAGTATTGCCAACATACACGCCCTGTAGAAACACTTAGTTTTATTTATCTATAAAAATCATATTTGACTTATGATGGCTTTGTTGGTTAATCCTACTGCAAATTTTCACATTGGAATGTAAAATATGAAAATTTACTGCATTGAAAAGGAAGAAATGATTATATCTACAAAATTTAAGTAGAAATATAATACCTTATCGGAAGCTGATAGATTTTAACTTAGAATGAAAGAATTATACATAAAGAAGACATTAACTAGCTGATTCTCTGTGACTACAACTCATTTGACGGGAATTAGCATTGTACATGATAAGTTATCCATCCGAGCAGAAGTTATAGAACAAGAAAATAATTGAACAAAACCTCTCACTTGACTGCATCAATAAGAAATACATTTATATAAACCAGAATAAATATTCTTCATTTTTCAGTCAGTTGAATGTTAACTACATTTCTATTCCTCCTTTGCAATAGTATAGGAGTTTAAGGTTAAAATTGCTTTTTCATGACGTTTAAGAAGTTTTTCATCAAATGACATTTTTTTAGATATATATTTCATCGTTGCTTTTTTCATTGAAGTGCCTTTTCAGTTCTATGTCTGTACTGTATGAAGCAATACTGTAGTTTACATCAAAGAAAATAATCAGTAAAATTTATATGAAATTGATGAAAGCCATTACGATTATTATATATTGTGGATTCATTATTATTCGTTGGATACCAATTTTTGTGGATTTCTTGGGATCAGTTAAACCACGAAATTCAATGTTAAACAAATACCAAATTTTCAATAGGCTTGTATGCATACTTCGGCAAAACCACGAAATTAAATATCCACGAATATGCAAGTTTTCAACAATCCACGAAAATTGGTACCCACGAAAATAAATGAATCCACAGTAACTAGTCAAAAATACTAAATTTTGCATGAAACTTGGAAATTACTTACATTAAAAATTGAACAAATGCACAATAAAAGTACAAAATGAAAAGTACACATAAACAAAGGTTTAACCTGATAACCTGTCAACATCATGTTAATATCAGTTAAGAAAGTTACAAAAATCCAATAATAATTTTTTGGCAAGTTTTAGTGTTCGATCTTATTTAGAATATGTCAAGAAGTACAGATAGTCCTATCAAACAAGCTTATAAAGAATAAAAGTTATTGATTTATTGAAAATATAAGTCTCCTAAAAGTTGACCTTTTGTAACAAATTTCTTTCAAGAAAATAAACTGTCAACTTAATTTGATACCCATGTCCATATTTTTACCATTTTGGTCAATTATGCCCCCCTTTCTACGATCCCTGGTAAGTAAATTTCTCCTCAGACTGTGAAGATCCTTTGTCATATATATTCAGTAAACCGCCTTGGTGGTCTCATGGTAGGGTGTTTGCCTCGGGTGCGGGAGGTCATGGGTCGATCCCCAGCAGGGTCAAACCAACCACTATAAAATTGGTATTTGCTGCTTCTCCGCTGAGCATGTCGCATTAAAGAGTAAGAGCAAAGACTATCGAGCTCAGAGTCAGACTAATGTATACAGGTAAGTGACATGTCTACCTCTGGACTGTTACCTTGTGAACTAGCATTTTAAAAATCTGGCTCAGTGTATCGGTCTAGTACAAAGCAGGGTTAATATTCATATTACATTAACATGTTCTCATCCTGAATATGCATATTAATTTGCCGCTGGACGTTAAGCAGCCATCCATCATCATCATATATTCAGTGTTCATGCTAATCATTAATTTAATTTTTGAATAAGAAGATATGGTATGATACCATTGAAACAACTCTCCACCAGAGACCAAGTAATGTTGAAGTTAGCAACTATAGGTCACCGTAAGGCCTTAACAGTGAGCAAAACCCATACCGCATAGCAAGCTTTAAAAGGCCCGAAATTACAAATGTAAAACAATTCAAATGAGAAAACTAACAGCCTGATTTATGCACAAAACAATAAGCGAAAAACAAATATGATGTACAGCAACAAACAACAACCACTGTTTTACAGGCTCCTGACTTGAGACAGGCACATACAGAATGACTTCCTTTACTTGAATAAGATCAAATAAGAAATGCTACACATATTCAAATGTAGGTTTAAATGCGTTTAAAAGGAACTTTCATTAGAATCTGAAATACCAACCAATTTAATATACTTCCCCAAATTAGAATTTTTTTTCAATGTTAGTTTAAGTAAACATTCATTTATTAATGCAAATACATCTATAATTCATAATTGTATTCCTGTTTTAAATACATTTTTTGCCTTTTTCAAGGTAGTGTTATGTAATTTTTTTACTTAGGATTCTAGGAATTACTTTGTATGGATGAAAAAGGTTTAATTAATCCCATGTGTTGACTTATAATCTTTAACTTTTAAGAAATCTCAAGGTCACATTTGTATTCATAGTTTTTAGATAATTTAAACCTTAATGTACTGTTGATATTTGATGTTAAAATTATATTTGAAGGAAAATCCTTTAGAAAATTTGACATCTTAAAGGACATCCTTTATTGGTTTAATGTTAATAAATTTTTCTGCATACAATATGATTTCTCAAATAAATAATATATTTTGCTTTACGCTTTAGAAAAGTCAGTACAAGTGCTTAATTGCCTGTGAATTTGTATTACCTGTTTACCTGTCATAGAGCAGGATGGAAAGACGCTGAACTAAAAGAGAAGTTGTGTTCTTGTTTTCTTTCTTTCTCATTTGAAGTTGTCTGGATTCTATCAAATACTTACTCTATCTTATAAGAGCTGAAAAAAACATAGATTTATATGAACAATTTGATATACTTTTGTTCCCCAAATTGTGTAATAAGAGACACCATTTGACCCTCCCACGACATGTTTTTTTTTCTCTTGACAAGTTCAATTTCCTCTTTATAATGGCTCAATACTGTTTTAAAAAATTACTTCTCAGAAAATTTTTTAAAAATGGCTTCCTGATTTTAGTCAAGTTTTATTTGAAAAATTGATATAAATTGTGCCAGGTTTAATTTTCACTGTTGTGGCTAAACTGGTGCTATTTTCTGACTTTTTGGTCATGGTTCCAGATTTTATACTTGAGATTTTCCAAACCCCCCCCCCCCCCCCCCCCCCCTTAAATGTTGGTAAATTGTTTACTGTCTTTGTATAAATATAACAAATTGATAATTATGATATTTTATATATTAGATATTTATAGTATCCACCCTGGTGATATTAGGCCTATAAGTTGTGACAAAATCAATTCAGTTGTCTCAGAAAAATGTAAACAAATGATTTGTACCGTGTTTTTAATGGTATTTATTCTTCAGAAATCAATGCTGGGAAATGTAACATATTTATCAGGAAAAACATTTTCCGGTTCAAATTTTGATGTAAAATTTATCAATAGAAATAATTTTTTTTCTCTATTTGGTAGAACTTCTTTTTTTGTTTGTAATGCACTTTCAAATACCTGTATATTATGAGCACAAATCCTTTTGGATTTTTTTTTTGTCTTATCAGAAGTTTTTATCAGTATAATTATGTACCAATAACAATTATTTAGACATTAAGTTGATTTTCAATGCAGGTTTTACTTGAGATTTTCCATCTAGTGTCACATCAACTTAGCCTTTATAATTATAGTTATGTCAAAATAAGTATTATATGAGTTTATTTTAATTGAATTGATCAGGTTTTTTGTATGATCATTAATGCCTATCAGTCTGAAGGTAGTTATGAAGGTTGTCCTATACATGAATTATTATAAGTATTATAGTAAGTAAATGGTTTGACTATTAAGGAGTACAATACACAGCCAAAAGGTTATTTTCCAATGCCTTTTAGTTGGATTCATATTTTGTATTTAATGTAGTTTCTTTTCTTTCCGTATATATGGCAGGAAATAATGTAATTTTAATCTACTTATCCATGCCATTCACTTTTTGTAGGAAAAAACCTGCAACTGTACATTATGTTATAGATAATGCTTATCTTAAGGTGTTTCTTGTCGTATAAGTATCTGACTTATATACGGTCAATATCCATAGGTCAAAGTATGATATATCCAATACATTGTGAATCAATAAGATTTTCAAAATCCTACACATGACAATATGTGAAACAATTCAAAAATTCAAAAATTCAAAATAGAAACGAAAAACCTGATGTATACTATACTACACCAATGAATGAGAAGCATATATAGCCAACATTAAATACATACATCTTCTAAACTTGATGAACCATGTCATACTCTTATTAAAGACAGAATGGACTAGACTCATAAGTTTATACTGAAAAAGTCCACACTAATCAATAGAATCAGTATAACCCATTCCAAAAATTACACAATAAATCAACTTTAATGCCATATTCTATAGGTTGTAGTTTTGGTTAATTTTATATTATAAATAATTAAATTACGTTTTTTAGAAATTGGTGACATTTTTACATTACAGTTACCAAAGTCCATCAAGTAGTGGAAGGTCATCTCCCACGGTAACAGATCATGAAACAGAGAGTACAGCATCCTCAGCACAGATAGGATGGACAGGGAACACAACAGAACGTAGCAGCACAGATTCTACCTATTCTTGGGATGTAAGTGGTACATGACTGTTTTGGGGATGGGGGTGGGGTTTGGGGATGTTTAAATCCTTGGAGGAAGGATAGCTTCATAAAAGGTTTTTAACATCCTCTAATAAAAGACCTCTTTACAAACATGAGTAGTAATACAAATATAGAAACTGTTAGAAATATGTGACCCATACATGATGACCTTTCAAAGGAGTCAAAATAATCTTTTCTCTATTCTTTTAAAAAATGATTCTTTTTATGGAATATATACAACTTTAAAACATTCTTCCAAACAATAAATTTCTTGAACATGTCTCATCATTTGATGGGTTAGATGCCGTTTTCAATTTTGGCCTCCCATTGTGTTCCATAGTTTCATTATCCATTATCTTTTCAGATAAGTGTAAGCTACTTTTCTATGGCATTCAGTGTAATTTAATGATTGAAGGAACAAAAATCAGACAGAAAAATGTGGGGTTGCCAAAAAAAGCAATTTTATTGTGGGTTTAGCTAAACTTTTTGCACTCACACACATGTCATGGAAGTGGGAAGTTCAGATAGGTTCCAAACATGCAGAAATACATCTACTTTAAGTGTTTTCAGAAAATGAGGGCAATGAAATGACTACTACTTGTTTAAGGACCAGGATCAACCAAAAATTATAAAAATTTGGAATTATTGTCATTTTTGACTAGAATGACTTTCTAAAGACTGCAGTAGCAAGGAATGTTTTCTAACAATAGTTGCTCCCCCATGATCAATGTCTGTGCAGGACACACAAAAGTGTACCTTGTAGCATCCTATTTGGCCTGAGGGTAGATAAGTTGGTCATGAAAACAACAAAAACAGTGTTTTTTTCAAAGGCCGGTATCTACCATTATTCTCATCATAGCTCTTTCACCTTTTGTTGTTTTGGTAGTCACCATTAGAATAGCTTGGACCATTGGAGCAACATTTCACCTCATATGTGATCATACGTGGTACTCATTTGAATATTTTCACTCCATTTAATTTTGAGAAAGAAAAATAGTGTAGTCATCAGATTCTATACATAATAAATTTGTGTTTTGTGTTGTAAGAAACTATGTTGTCTTATTAATCCAATCCAATTGTCAATTACTATTATCATTTATCAAAACTTAGATAATATAAGAATCAAATTTCATATTGATACCTGATACAATAGACCCACAGTACTATTTTAAATTTTGCTATATCATGATGATTTTGTCATAATCAGGGCATCCATCTTAATTTCATCCTGTTATTGTTGTTTTAATGAATGTCACAGTATTGTTATTTGGTATGTTGTTGTCATTGATTTTATAATAATCTTTTCTTTGCAATGCAGGGGTTGCATGAAGGATGTGTAAAAATAAATAACATAGGGCAGCAGCACTTTTGCCTGACATTATGTCATGTGACTGAAAATAAAAAACTAATTACTGTGGATTCATTTATTTTCGTGGGTATCAATTTTCTTGGATCGAGAAAATGTTGTCTTTTTGTGGATATTTGATTTCTTGGTTTGCCAAAATCTGTATTCAAGTATATAGAAAATTTGAACTATGTTGAACATTGAAATTGACGTGGTTCCCCTGTACCCATGAAATCCACCAAATTGGTATCCCACAAATATGAATGATTATCCACAGTATTTGAAGCTTATTTTATTTGACTTTCTGTGATGTTTTTACCACTGTAGAATTAATAGGCTGGTATTGGTTTCATTTTTGTTTCTTTATTTGATGTCAATCTGTAGACTCTTGTTTTCAGTGTAATAAGTTTCGATCTAGTTGACAGATCTTAAAATTTTGAAACTGATGTTTTGCATGGAAGAAGAACTGTATTTTATTGATTCTTGCCAAAACTGTTTCAGTTAAAAGGACCAAAAAGGTGCCAGATAATAATGTTTTCATTAGTTAAAATGTACAACATTTATTGTTTCATCAGATTTTGCTGTATGGTTGATCTTATACATTTAGATCCATTAAAAAACTATTAACTAATTACATGTATTCTCTTTTATTGATAGGAATTTGATAAGCAAGCTGCAAAACAGGTGCAATCATCCTTTGAGCAAATAGACTCTGTTCTATTTGAACAGAACACAGACGGTCCTCAATATATCAAAAAAGAATGTCAAGAATGGCAGTTTCAGTTTCCACATTTAAGGTTTGTGATTATATGCATGGTATCTTATTTTAAGATGTAACTATATTATAATGGATATTGAGATGTAAGATAAATAAACAAAAAGATTTTGGTCTTGTGGAATCTAAGGTCAAAATTTGATAAGGAAAGGCGAACTTGCCTATTTTCAGGATAAGATGACTTACAGAAGAAATAAGTTGAGAAAATTCAGTGACAAAACAAAAATTTATTGATAAGACAGCAATGTGACTTAAAAGAAATACAAAGGAGAAAGCATCAGTGTAAACAACAGTAAGACTGCTAAGACAACAGTGTTAACGAAGGAGAAAGCTTCAGTGTAAACAACAGTAAGACTGCTAAGACAACACTGTTAACCAGGGAGAAAGCATCAGTGTAAACAACAGTAAGACTGCTAAGACAACACTGTTAACCAGGGAGAAAGCATCAGTGTAAACAACAGTAAGACTGCTAAGACAACACTGTTAACAAAGGAGAAAGCATCAGTGTAAACAACAGTAAGACTGCTAAGACAACACTGTTAACGAAGGAGAAAGCTTCAGTGTAAACAACAGTAAGACTGCTAAGACAACACTGTTAACAAGGGAGAAAGCATCAGTGTAAACAACAGTAAGACTGCTAAGACAACACTGTTAACAAAGGAGAAAGCATCAGTGTAAACAACAGTAAGACTGCTTAGACAACAGTGTTAACGAAGGAGAAAGCTTCAGTGTAAACAACAGTAAGACTGCTAAGACAACACTGTTAACAAAGGAGAAAGCATCAGTGTAAACAACAGTAAGACTGCTAAGACAACACTGTTAACAAGGGAGAAAGCATCAGTGTAAACAACAGTAAGACTGCTAAGACAACACTGTTAACAAGGGAGAAAGCATCAGTGTAAACAACAGTAAGACTGCTAAGACAACACTGTTAACAAGGGAGAAAGCATCAGTGTAAACAACAGTAAGACTGCTAAAACAACACTGTTAACAAGGGTATGAAGAAAATTACCTCATCCTAGGGTCTTCAACAGTTATGTTATCTGTGGAACACATTTGAAATGAATGATTGTTAGATTGATTTTACTAAACATCCCATTGGGATATATTTCAAATTGCATATTCTAGAGGAGAAGAAGTTATAAACATTATATGTGTTGGTTGTTTACTAAATGATATGAGGGACATTTGAATATGATTTTTTTTGAATTATGAAATAATTCAATCATGCCAAGCTCATTTTAACATGGGTAGGCATTATATTTGTCAATATCTTAATATCAAGTGTTATTGAGGTTTAAATTGTTGACTAACACAATGCCTACCCATGTTAAAGTTAGCATAGAGCATGGCATGATAGAATTATTATGATTTTAATAGTATTTATAACTTTTGTACTTCGAAGCAGACCTATACGACAAGTTCAAAAGGCAACTATTTGATTTATAAGAAACCAACATTTCATCATTATAAAATGAACAGATACATGAAAATTTACTTTTATAATTAATTTTTTTAATTTCCAAGCTAACAACACCAGAAATATTGTCCATTTTGCCTTTGAGTTTGTTCAATATACAACTGACATTGTAACCTTTATTTGTGATGTCGCACATGTGACTCCATGTTCTATTGAAGTTAGAACATGGCTTTGTTTGCAAAGCTAAAGGAGAGCATCATTTTAGCATTCTCCACATATAAGTTGCCAAAGAAATAATAGGATATAAATATAAAAAAAAAACAATGAGATAAGACAACTGAACTTGTTAATTTTAATACTTACATATATTTTGTTTGTAATTTTAATTAAATTGCAGAATTATAGGATATAGTAAATGATGAATTATTTCTCCTACAGAATTTTGGGTCACCAGTTGATGATACCTCAGGAATTGGGATATCATGTGATACACACAGATTCTTCGCGTCCTTCGACAGGCAGCATGGGTATAACAGACGTTACAGATCACGACATATCAGGCACTCCAGATCTTCAGGGGTATGCATCACATCCTCTTAAATGGTTAAAGTGTTGTTATTTTATAATTAAAAGTGGTATATAAGAAAAGTATGTGCTGGTGACAACAGTATAATATGAGTTAGCTGAGTCAATATGTGCAATTCATTTAGGTGGTAATGGTATCATTTTCGTAAATTCCTCTGCCATTATTGTAATATGGAACTTTTAAAGCTAAACTTTCTCACAAATGTGGTTATATTTTCAAAATGTGATGAATTTTTCTTCAATTTTGCATACCCTGAAAAGCCCTTTTGTGATATGATTTCTTGAGGGAAATAAAAAACCCTGTTTTCACACAAAAAGTTGCCTTTAAATTAAGTACTTTGATAATGTTTTATAACTCCATAGTTTTTTACACCTTTATTCTATGATCCTCTTCTCTTCAAATTAGCACAAATGGTAAACCTCAGTGTCTTGTTAAAAATAGCAACATATCCAATATCATTTCACAGAGATGTTTTGTTCACATATTATATTTGAGTACCTCATTTTGAGGTGAATATGGGATATTGACCAAGCTGGTCACTATCCTTTTAATTCTGTTTGTACATTGGATTTTCTGTTGGTCAAGAAATGATACCATGATATTGTATAGTAGATTTACTGAAAAGTAATAAACCAGATGGATTGAAAATTATGAAAATTCTAAATAAGGGGGAAAAATTGAGAAAATTGAGAATAGGAAAATAAAGGAGAAAAAAACAGGATGATTTGATATTGAGATTACCACCTTCATAATGATTTTTGAATGGGAATTTTCTGCACAATATAGATAAGTTCTACATGATTTAAACCTTGAAGTACAGATTTATGTGATTAGGGATGACTTGTTTAACATGTTTATCTATTAGTTAAATATTACTTAAGCTTGCTTTAGGTAAAACATTCAACGTTGAGAAATTGTTTCAATTTTTTATCAGTTAAATTTTATAAACTTTTAAAAAGTACCCTTTAATCTTGTTTAATAAATTCAAAATCTTGAGACTGTGGTCTACTAATATTTCAAATTTGAAATAATCACATTTTCATTATAGATTATAATTTTATGTTAATAAGACGATCTTGACACCACATTTATATATTACTAAAACAAACAAAACTTCAAAAAAGAAGATAAATTTTATATAAAACTTTTGTCATTTGTTTTTCCTCTGTGTGTTTATATCTTTGTACCTTGCAAGATTAGCTTAACTGAGTGTGTGATCAAGTGACAGTAGGCCCCCTGTTGTGTTTTAAACACCTAAACTTAGGAGATTTTCACTTAGTTTTAAAAAGTAACAATTTACTCAGAAAATTTCCTTTGAGATTCTTTTGAAATTGATACCAGGTTTCTGAGGATTTTTTTTACCATGTAAAAATTACTTATACATGAAAAAGAAATATATGGTCAATATTAATGATACAGCAACCAAACAACCAAGGTCAACTACCGGTAGTCAACTAGAGGTCACCCAATCTAATTAGAATTAGTTCCTTAAATTGCTCTTGTTCTGATACGTTGTGCATCAATGCCTTTAATGGGCAATATATCAGAATGGAATCAATTAAAGGAACTAATTTGAATTAGATTGTAGGTGACTATATATAGTTTTCAATGATGGACAAGTGCCTACTCCATGTTACAAGCTCTAAATCGTTGAATTATCATCCATTCTTCAGTGTCTCTGGTATATAGTCCAATAAAGTTGTAAACATTTGGTTCAAAAAATAAATTGATAGATAACGCTGTGGCAAACTTAAGTGACCTTTGATATGCTTATGTTATTAGAAAATCATAAGACAAAATTAAGGTGACAGTAAAGATGTTTTTGATATTATTACCAGATAAGAATATTGTAAAATTGATTATTCTGGAATAATTTTTCTGGATGATAAGACCCATCTTTTCCAATAAATGACACGGCTTCAATGAAATCAATAGCCTGTAGATAACAGGGCCAGTAATTATCTTATTACAAACAAATATACCTCAAGTGTTTTATTGAATTGTTTCATAAACCTGTAAAATATGGCTACCTATATGCGTCATTTGTGTAATAATAGCTTTGCACTTCACAAGAAAGCCAGTTATAATCTGTTTGAAGTGAATAAATTCAATTAGTTATAAATGGTGCATCAATCTGTTGCAGTGTGTAAGAAGTGTTCTTAAGTTCAAAAAGTTAAACAGATATTAAAAAGACATTTGTTATGTAGGTTTCAGATATACTCTGTCTGCCAGTACATCCATTTATTATCATATTTGTGACAAGATTTAAATCATACAGAACTTAATACACTTCATAATAGAATTTTGGAAAATAATGCACTATGCATATTCTGTTATTGTTAGTGTACTTTATTTGAATTCTAATTAGTTTGATATCAGCCATGTACTTGTGAAACAGGTCTCTAAGATGTCCCTGTCGAAATCTAGTACTCTTCCATAGAATAATTTACTCATCATTAAAATTTAATAGCTATTTATATAAAAAAAAAATGATTTCATAGACCTGGATCAAGAATGAACCAGTGATCTTGAGTCTTGCATGTGCAGGATTTGTTCTCTTCATGGTCATAGTGTATACCAGTATGTTAAATGTTAACTCTAAAGCTTTCCCTGAAGTTTGATATGGTCTGAACAACAGGGATGTAACTTGATCAAATTTTTTTTTCATAGATTGAATTGTCTTTTGTGCTAATTAATGCAACACGCCCTCTTCCAACTTGTTTTGTAAATATTTTTAGAAAAATTCAATAAGACATGCTTCAAGTATTTGTGATATTGACACATAGACAAAATAAAACACTGTTGACTGTCTCATAATCTCCTCCATCTATTCATTTTTATCAGAAATTCTTATTTAATTTTTTCATGAAAAATGAAGGAAGTACCATCTTGCTTCATCTGAAAAGTTGAAAAAGGTCTTGAAAAGCCTTATAATTTATTGGTTGTGGCAATGTGGCTATGGTCTTTACCCATCATTAAATATCCATGGAAGATGTACATCAAAACTGTTGAGATAATTTTTGTCAGATCCATTTAATGATTTGTTTGATGTTAAATAAATTATCATTTCTTTGTAACTTTTGAATTTTATGATACCAAAATAAATTGACTTTGTATTGAGGTGGTCAATAAATTAATGTGTGAAGAAGACCTCTGGACCTTAAATCTGTATTCATATTGATCTAAATAAAACATAAAGGGCTTTCTAATCAACAGTATTATCTGAAATAATAAATATTGTTAGAATTAAGTTTGCACAATTTTATTAAATAAATAACTGTATCTATTTTAGTTTCTTTAGACTGGTATGATCTAAATTAAGAGAATATTGATGGTTTTATTGTTGTCAGCTTATCAAATTTATTGTCATTGCAATGGTCCTCAAACTCATCATAACTGCTATTTTCTGGTGTTTGTTTTCATATTTCCATGGAAACAGGATAAATTGGAAATGTTTCACATCTGCTACATATAAAAATATCAAGATAATAAAAAATGGACAGATTATGAAATTTTATTGATTTTTATACTATAAGGTATTAAGTTTCAAATAATATTGAAGATGGTTTTATTATTGTGATTAATGACAATATGAATTATAAACCAGGTGGGACTTTCCAGGATGGAAATAGGATTCCTTGTATGTTACAGGTGTAAGCCACACAAATGTTGGCTATTGTTCAGCTCTAAAAATTTCTAAAAATATAAATTGATCATAAATTATAATTTCTGTAGCAAATTAAATTTCTTATAATGAAAGGATGAATTTCTTATAAGTTGGGTTAATGGTGTATCTGACTGGTTTTTTTTTTATAAGTGAAAAATATCTATTACCCTTCTCTGTGTGACACTTAAGAAACTTTTAACCTTGAAATGTCATTCAAATCTACAGGTGATGAAACATGCTGTATCAAATAAATTCTTCCTGGATACAAACAGAAATTAAAATTGATTTTTAAATTAGATTTAATTGAATAGATGACAAATGACCTCAGTTTGTACATCCTGATACTAGCTAATAATCATCTGACACTTTTATTTTCTTTTCCATTGTCAAAGGGATTAAAGTTCTGTTTTTAAATGATATATCAAGATGCATTTATTACGCATTTGCATTATCTAACAAATGGGTCCAATTATGATATTAAAATTTAGAACATGTCACTTTTTAATGCTCCATGCCTGTAAAAAAGTTTCTTGATATGAACGACCAAATAAAAATAGAAGAGGGCTAATCAAGGACGGGTCAGGCAAACAAGGGTGAGGGGTAAAGGATTTGTCCAGAGTGTGAAATGGTTTCGAAGTTTCACTAAAATTTAAAGGCATGACAACAAATTTTTTATTTGAAATTTAAAAGCATTAAATTAATATTTTTTTACTAGGGAACAGATGGTATATATATTTTACAGTTTGTTACATCCCCAAATAGTTGAATGGATTTCAATGAAATTTACAACAGTGATAATATACTACCGATATATGAAAGAAAAATAATGATACAGCGATACAAAGAGTTCTTTAAAATAATTATGAAAACATGTTGCTTTAGATCTCTTTGTTTACATTCCTGTATTTTTTTCCAGATTATCATTAACGGGTAGATCAATTGAAGCAAAAAGTGTACCTATTGAAGCACGCTCAGTGTTATCATCAGGGAGAGAGGACAGTTCACTTACATCAGAATTTACTCATCTTGAGGAAGAAATCATTGAACAAGAGGGGTATTATGAAGAAGTCATTGCCATTGACTATAAAGACATGTAAGTTTCTGAGGAAGAACACATTTGGAAACTATTTTTTTCGTTTTCTTTAACATTTGACTAAATATCACTTATCATAAAACAGTTTTTTGTCTCGCCTTGACGGAGCCAAAAAGCAAGACATAAGTATGTTGTTTCTGTCAGTGGCGTCAACAATGTATTACTTTAGTTTGTGATTAGGTCAGTTTATGGGAAACCACTAGTGGTAGGTCAATGATATTTGGTATGCAGTTGTATCAGCATTGGCACATTTCATTTCCATGGAGATTATTTTGTCCCGCCCTCCCAGTAATGGTCTATTGACTTTGAAACTTTTGCTTAGTTTACATGTACTAGTATTAGTTTGTGATTAGTTCAGTTATGGTGAACCACTAATGGTAGGTCAATGATATTTGATGCAGTTGTAATAGCATTGGCAGATTTCATTTCCATGGAGATTGTTTGGCCCTGTACCTTCAGTCATGGTTTATTGACTATGAATATTGTGCATAACTTAAATGTTAAGGTATTGCTATTTTAATTTCAACATTTGCATGTTTCTATCAAAATAAAAAAGATTTGAAACATATCTCTGTGTCAACAGTTTGTTCTGTAATAAGGTTGTCAGATATGACAATATGACAATAGCAGATGGTAGAATTTTAACATCCAGTTGATGGACACAATGAATATTAACTCATATTTTTATAATTTCTTTAAAATCAGAATCTGTTTCCATTTAAGATTAATGTTTGCTGTAACGAACTAAGCTTTTCCAAATCCCCTGACAAGGAGTTATCTGTTAGTTCAGGAAAGAGTCCTGTGTTATTCATAGGACAATTTATAAATATGAGATTGTTTCAGCACATAATTTGTGAGATAGCTAAAACATAAATTTAGTGATGAATGGGTTGTTAACAAAAGACCATTAAACTGCTACTTGAGATAGGAGGGTAAAATAACTAGTTTCATCAATTTATATCATTTTCAACAGATACATTCTTAATATGATTCATGTAAGAAGTTTTGATGAAGCTTAGCAGTTTTCAAGATAGTCACACTAAAAAAATAAAAATCTCTTCTGAAATAACTATTACAATTCAAACTAAAAAATAAACATCCATCATCAAAATTTAACTTACCAACATTGTAACCAATTTAAAAATGTTTAAAAATGATAATTATCATATTTGGATTAAGAAACAGTTCTGTATCAAAATAAAGTTACATGGCTATGATAACTACTCTTGCTAAAAGTATGTTACATGGCTATGATAACTACTCTTGCTAAAATTATGTTACATGGCTATGATAACCACTGTTGTTAAAATTATGTTACATGGCTATGATATCTACTCTTGCTAAAAGTAATGTTACATGGCTATGATATCTACTCTTGCTAAAATTATGTTACATGGCTATGATAACCACTGTTGTTAAAATTATGTTACATGGCTATGATATCTACTCTTGCTAAAAGTAATGTTACATGGCTATGATAACTACTCTTGCTAAAATTATGTTACATGGCTATGATAACCACTCTTGTTAAAATTATGTTGCATGGCTATGATATCTACTCTTGCTAAAAGTAATGTTACATGGCTATGATAACTATTCTTGCTAAAATTATGTTACATGGCTATGATAACCACTCTTGTTAAAGTTATGTTACATGGCTATGATATCTACTCTTGCTAAAAGTAATGTTACATGGCTATGATAACTACTCTTGCTAAAATTATGTTACATGGCTATGATAACCACTCTTGTTAAAATTATGTTACATGGCTATGATATCTACTCTTGCTAAAAGTAATGTTACATGGCTATGATAACCACTCTTGCTAAAAGTAATGTTACATGGCTATGATAACCACTGTTGCTGAAATTATGTTAAATGGCTATGATAACCACTGTTGCTGAAATTATGTTACATGGCTATGATAACCACTCTTGCTAAAATTATGCTACATGGCTATGATAACCACTCTTGCTAAAATTATGTTACATGGCTATGATAACCACTCTGTTGCTAAAATTATGAATAGAACATCTGTTGTGCATTTAGTTTTTAAAAATATTCTCTTTTATTTCAGATATGACGAAAGCTCAGAACAGAAGAAACAATTAACCCCTAGACGGCATAGAGTAGGGTACCCTCCTATCACACCTAATGCCTGTGTGAAGGACAGTGTCCTTAGTTCTGTGTTTGATTCTGTATGGCAAGAAGTAAGTATTTTAACTTTTGAATAAGCAATATCATCCTATTGTCATAAAAAAAAAACATGAATTGGTGAAAAAGCTCTTCAGCCAGAAGATTTTCCTGGGGTCAATGTGGTGTTGTTGATTTGCTGTCTCATTGATATATGCCCATTCAAATCATTGAAGTACAGCATAAAATATAAATACTGCAGATGCATTGTTAGTAATGAAGAACTTAATACATAATAATCCACTCCCACAAATGTTAATTCCTGTTGCCTCCCATGAAATAGCAGCTTCTTCTCATTCTAAAAGATAATATACTGGGTTGTTTTTATACGCCCGTTTACGGGAAGTATTATGGTATACCGTTGTCCGTCTGTCCGTATGTCCGTCTGTCGTCAACATGTCGGACATTAACTCAAAAATGCTTTAACTAATTTGCATAAAACTTTGGTGAATTGTTTATATCTATTGACGTGAGCTCCCTTTCGTTTTTTATAAAATTTAGATTTAACGTTTCCGAGTTATGGGGTTTTATTCATTAAAAAAAGGGTGATTTTCCAGTTTTTGGACAATGATTCAAGAATGCTTTCACCAACTTGCAAGAAATTGTGGTGAATTGTTTATATCTATTGACATGAGCTCCCTTTCAATTTTTATAAATTTTAGATTTTACGTTGCCGAGTTGCAGGGTTTTATTCATGAAAAAAGGGGGGATTTTCCAGTTTTCGGACAAAAACTAAAAAATGCTTTCAGCAATTCTAATGAAACTTTGGTGAATTGTTTGTATGTATTGATGAAAGCTCCCTTTAGAATTTTATAAATTTTACATTTTACATTTCTGAGTTATGGGGTTTTATTCATTAAAAAAAGGGGTGATTTTCCAGTTTTTGGACAATAACTCAAAAATGCTGTCACCAATTCTCATCAAACTTTGGTGAAATGTTTATATCTATTGATGTAAGCTCCCTTTTTATTTTCATAAATTTCTAATATGACATTGAGAATTAATTGAACTTTATTTGTTTATAGTCTGACAACAGATTTACTAAGTATTGCACAACAGCAAGAAATCTTTAATTGAATATAAATTCAATTCATATAACCAATTTCAAGATCTTTGACTACATTTATTCAGAAACCTATAATATGTCAAATATTTAATTACATCCAAATTCGGACCTGAATCAAGCTTGAATATTGTGTCCATTTTTGTCCCAACTGTTCAGGGTTGGACCTCTGCGGGCGTATCTAGCTGCGCTCAGCGAAGCAGTTTATTTTATTGGAAACGTGACATTTAATGATGTTTTGCTTTTTTCATTTTAGATAATTGCTTGGACCCGAAATTTGTCGAAAAAATACTCAGTTTTAGTTTTAGGTAAGATATGTATTAACTAATTGATTAATATTAAAATATTTTGTTTTTAATTGTAGAGTGGAAAATAAATCAAGGAAGTAATTGTTACTGGTATTCTAATGCAATTTTATGTAACAGTTTTGTTGTTTTTTTTCGCTAATATTTACTGTCAAATCCACAATTGACATATCATTACTAAGGAGTGAGAAGGCATATTGAATTGCTTGAATAAATAAATGTTCATTTACTACAATATAGTCCAAAATAAAACAACACCTACCTCAAAAATGTAGTTTTCATTTGTGTGATGTCATGTTAAGCCATGATGCTTATGAGCAAAAATGATTCAAGAAATAAAACTGCATTCGCAATCATCTAATCACCAATGGAAGCCGGCAACTCTTCTGTACTGTTATTCCTTAAATATTAAGTTTTCACATTTGAAAAAAATGTTTATATTGTATGTGCAAACTGTATGCGCTTGAATCCTCAAAACGTCCTGGAGTTGTTTTTTGTTTGGTTTTTTTTTCAGAGTAATAGTAAGACTAAGTACAAAAAGTGTTTAACACTTAAGTACATTATATGTCCACTGCTCTGGGTCCCAAGAAACGTTGATGAGTTAAAAAAGTGTTTAACACTTAAGTACATTATATGTCCACTGCTCTGGAATCTGGATCCCCAGAAACGTTGATGAGTTAAAAAAGTACATTATATGTCCACTGCTCTGGATCCCAAGAAACGTTGATGAGTTAAAAAAGTGTTTAACACTTAAATACATTATATGTCCACTGCTCTGGATCCCCAGAAATATTGATGAGTTAAAAAAGTGTTTAACATTTAAGTACATTATATGTCCACTGCTCTGGATCCCCAGAAACGTCGATGAGTTAAAAAAGTGTTTAACACTTAAGTACATTATATGTCCACTGCTCTGGATCCCCAGAAACGTTGATGAGTTAAAAAAGTGTTTAACACTTAAGTACATTACATGTCCACTGCTCTGGATCCCCAGAAACATTGATGAGTTAAAAAAGTGTTTAACACTTAAGTACATTATATGTCCACTGCTCTGGATCCCCAGAAACATTGATGAGTTAAAAAAGTGTTTAACACTTAAGTACATTATATGTCCACTGCTCTGGATCCCCAGAAACGTTGATGAGTTAAAAAAGTGTTTTACACTTAAGTACATTATATGCCCACTGCTCTGGATCCCCAGAAACATTGATGAGTTAAAAAAGTGTTTAACACTTAAGTACATTATATGTCCACTGCTCTGGATCCCCAGAAACATTGATGAGTTAAAAAAAAGTCTCTCAAATCTAATTTTGTAGTACAAGCTGTAAAATATAATATTACTAGATCCAGTGCTGCTAAAATAGGAATAATAGTTACACCTAATTTTATTTTAGAAAATGAGTCATTGTGATATTAATGGTGATGCCTATGTATATTTTTTCTTCTATGTCTTCTTGTAGAAGAAAATAAACCTCTCACTATACCTATGCAGCCCTCGTCTCCTCAAAACAGACATGAACATTCCATGCTTTCTCGGGAACCATCATTTAGTCATGCTATGTATAGAGTAAGTATAAACTAAATAAGCTTCATAGTTTGTTTAATGAATTTTTGTATTGTTATTGTATTTGAAATGTGTAAATGGTTAAGATTTTTTTTAAATATTCTGTGCATTGTTTCTGCAATTCAAATTTTTTAAGTTGAAAATTTACAAAAATATTGTTTATTACAAAGATGAAAGAACATCAAAAAGACCTGATGAAATAGTTTTCAATCAGCTTGATTTAAAAACGGCTACAAAAAGTATAGTTTAGTATTATTAAAACAGAAAAATCCAAAGGAGTAGGCCCAGTAAGACCCCTTTTTGGCCCCAAATTATAGCAGTTTTACAAAATTGTTAAAATGTAAATTTTTAGCTATTTATTGGAAAGAAGAATACTTCTGTTACATAAATATGGGCTGTTTTTGACAATACAATGCACATGTATTGGTTACTAGCATCATTAAGTCATGCTAAATTACTGAAATCTTCGAAATTTTAGCATTTTTGTTAATTTTTAGACGGTTTCTGTCTGAAATGGAAGTGGCCGCATTTGTGTTCATTCTTAATATTTAAATGTAAGTTGTATTTGATGATAATACATAACATATATAAAGGTTGAGAATGAACACGGATGCGGCCACTTTCATTTTTGACAAAAACCATCTGAAAAGTGACATATTATGGCATATTTGATAGATATTTCATATTTAAGTTTGAATTTGAGCGTCTTTAATGAGTAAATCAGTTCAAATCTTTCACATAAACTAATTGAATCGACTGAATTAGACACTTAAGTGTTTAAAAAGTGTCCAAAATCTTTCATCAGATGAACCTGAATTTTGAGGCCAAAATCTGCCCTTACTGGACATCCTCCTTTCTTTCTTGTCATTTTTTGTTAAGTCATCTCTTAATCACACTAAGTATTCCTTAATGATTTCTTTTCTTGAAATACATACATTTTCCAATGTTAACAATATGAGTATAAAATTAATGATTGTGCAATTCCAGGGTGAAACACTTGTAATGCTTTTCCTTCTTTAGAGTTGTTTATACAAGTGAAACTTCAGTTGGTATTTACAATTTTCTTTAAAGAATTTGTTTTTTGTATTTGATATATTGTTCTTATTCTAATGAAAAAAACTTATGTTTTGTAGCAACGTTCGTATACAGCAGCCGGTGCATTAAACTTAGATAATGTTCTCCTTATATCAAGTAAAAAAATATCAGTCAGGGAACCATCAAATTTACAGTAAGTTAATGTACACATTCAATTTGTCTTAAGGAAACCTGCTCTTTTGTCTCGCCTCAACAAAGTCGAAAAAAGGGAGACTTAAAGGGGCTGTTTCCATTGGCAGTGACGTTAACAATGTATTAGTTTTTAATTTTCAGTTTCAATTATAGAGACAAAAATTAAATAGAGAAAAAATATTATAAGATGTGAGGATTTGTTAATGAGACAACAAGCCATTGACACAAGTAACCAAAAGACATGATCAACAGGTGTCTAACCAGTAGATTGCCAAGAATCTTAACAAAAAATTGTGAATAAATTTTTGAACAGAAACAAAAGATCTGCCATCAACACCAAATACTCTTAATAATATGAAAAAAAAATATTAAACAACCTCTGAGAAAGTTTCTGACTTGTGACAGGCTCATGAACATTAGGCAAGGTTTAACTAGTTTGTTGAGATGTCAGTCCTCCCCTGTTTCATCTCGATCTGTAGATTATCAAAAGGTACCCAAAAAAAAAAAACCAATAGAAAATTCAGTACAGGAAAGGAAATGAACATTTCTTATATGTATTAAATAGTCTTTAAACCAGAAAGTTAGATGTAAATATAATGATAAGCTCTTATACAGAAATAGTGAAGTCATTATAATAAAACTATAAATTTGTTCACCAATTTTGAAAATTGTTAGTTGTTGCCATGTGAAAAGTTTAATTCAGAAAACTTTTAATTACAAGATTTACTCCTAAATGATTTCAGTTTCAAGAGCTTATCATTTTTTTGTTTGTTTGCTAGTTATCAAAATTTTAGCAATTATTTTTTCAGGGACTATGCAGAAACCCCTGTACCAAGTACAAACCGTCCTGCATCTAGCTTTCCAACAAGTGCTACTGTTAGACGTCCACATAGTAATACAAAGTTTGTCAGACCCACAGCACAAAAACCTACAAGACTTGCCCCAATCCAGTCTGATGCATCTAAAGCATACACTGTAAGTTAAATTGATTTTATTAATAAGTTTTTACTCTTTACTGGGATCTGTAAATATTTTTACAGAATGATTTTGTTAGTATTTTAGACAGTTGTTTATTTTACCTGTTTGTAACTTACATGTATTATTGTGTTGGTTATAAATTCATTGCTTCTGTCTGAATTACTAACTTTTACCTCTGTGCTTTGAAAAAGTAAAAACTTGTTTCAGCTTAAAAGCACAATTTGTGGTCATACTTAAGGTTTGTTTGTTTTTGTTTTTTTTTTTATTCCCCTGCCACAAGGCAAAGGGGGCATTAAGTGTTACCCTTGACTGTCCGTCCTTCCGTCTTTCTTTCCTTCCCAGTTCTGTTTTAAAACCAAGCTTGAGTGGAGGCATTCGTGTCCTCAGACACATTCTTCTTTTATTCTACAAAACTTTGTACTTAAAAAATTCCACTTTGATTTTGAATTTTAGTCATATGAAAAATAAAGCATGTAACAATTCCCTTAGGATTAACCATTAATAATTCAAGAAGATATGCAGATCAGGAGTGAAGAATTCCCCAAGGGCCAAATTGAGTGATGAATATTAAATAATAAAAAATTTAGTTCATTTATGATTTATGTTTCATTCAGATCTGGATACCACTGGCACTGCTACACAATACATGTATTTTCACAGTCCTAGTTTATTTATAATGGGATAGAGTAGGACTTTGAATTATGTTGATTATATTGTTGATATGAGTACTAAATGCTTAATTTTACATATCATGAGTTCAAATGGAGAGTTCCTAAACAAATCAGAATAATTAAAATATTGCTTTCATTAAATGTACTAGGAACTCATTATGTGTAACTTTGAGGATTTTGTTCATTGGGCACATATTTCGGCAAGTTGGACAGAGACTTACTCAGACAGGTTTTTAACATCAGGTCAAAAGATTTTTGCAAGGAGGTAACTGTTTTTCTGGATGTTTACTCAGGCGTTATATACTATTCATTATTACAAAACACACATCCACTGACCAAAGGAGAAATATGTACAGTATAAACAACAGACACTTTAATATTAAGTACAACATTACAACAAATTATGAATGGACCTTTAGTATATTTACAATCCAGAATCGGTACTCTAGTCAAACATGGAACAAATGAAAGTTTAAAATAATCAGGACCTTTTCTGAGGACTTTGTATAAAGAAGAATTTCAAAATTTTAAATACACTGATTTATTGAACATATTTTGGGGTGCTTTAGTTTCGGAGTCCGGTCCAATTACCTTTTTGTCCTTCTTGTATTCTTTCCTTTGAACTATGAGAGTTCCTGGTTTGCTTTTGATTGGTTTTTTTTCGTATTTGATAAATAATTTATATAATAATAAAAATTAGTTTTCAAGCATGAATAACTTAAACACAAAATATGATTTGACAAATTACAATAAATATGATAAATTATGAATCTGAAATCGAGTAAGGTTTGAATTATGGTGCAATTAAAAAAAAAGAGAGGGTTTTTATTGGATTTTTTTTTATTAATAATTAATATAATAATAGATAGCAGTTTAAGAATGACTATTTCAAAAATTATGATTGAAATACTTCTTCCATAAAAAGTTAGAAAATCATGAAGATTTGTTGAGAAATTATTTCAAATTATATGAAGTTTACTGCAATATTTTAGTTGTTATTTTTTTTTTAGTGCAGTCGTTTGAGGATATTTCTGAAAGAATTAATTATGAACTTTTATCCTATAAAATTCAGCCAAATTTAAATACCAATATACAAGAACACGAAGCCTCCTACATGGCTAATTCTTCTATTTGCATACAAAATAACAGTATTTTAGGAGATGACCCTTTTTTTCCTGAAATTTTCATCTTTGAAATCTGAATTATTAAGAAGTTCTGGGGTTTTGTTGTTGCTTTTTTAAAATAATTTATATTTTGTTTGACGGAAAAGTATCACACAGAAAAAGGAAAGCATTGTTTTTTAATCTAGTTAAATATTGTATCACTATTTTATAGTCCATGAGGACATTTTCTATACTTCAAATTTTCTCTTAATTCATATACATACAGGTGGAACATTTGTTGCATTTTGTTACTATAAACAATATTTTTTTAAGGTCATTTTCAGGTTCAGGATATCAAATTTTAATTGCATGATAAATATTCCATTAGCCTCTCTCTGTAATATAACTTGAATTTTAAACAGGTGAAATGTTTTGAAAATCTGATAAAATCTTTAATACATTAAGATATATATTATTAATTTGCATATTGCATCAGAAGCGCAGAAATGAAATGAAATGACTCGAAGAAAGTAATTTAGCCTTTAATTGGAAGTCACACAGCAGTATGATACACCTGAACGATTTTGCTTAGTCATTCCATTATGTTAATATCCCTGTGGATTTCTCTTTTGTAATTATTATTTTGATATAGCATATTAAAACATTCAAAGGTCTTTCGTGTTTCATTTCTTTTCTAAAACCCTTAAACAAATAAACCAATAAAGCTTTTCAGGATAAACTAAAATGACTGTAAAATGTGTGAAATACTAATTACTTGTAAATATTTGTTTACAGACTTAAGTTCACTATTTAGCACTTATATTTGAATATAGTGTGTAATGAGAATCAGTGAATGCTAATGCAGTTAAAAAATCCGGATAAACAACTAGTTATACACAAAAATGAAAACCAACTTTTTGCCCCTGAACTGAACAAATCTATTAGAGGGACTGATTACAAAGATATAAGGACTTTAGTGATAGGGAACATTGTCATAGTACAAAAAGGGGATGTCTTATGCAGCTGGTCTTACTAAAATCAACCTTTTCTGTTGGGTCATGATATAACCAGAGGTAATAGGGTAAATTTGTCTTATTCTGGTTGGTGGTAGCTAGTGATAATGATTTTACCAGTAGTAGTTGAACTGAAATTACCTTCTGGTGGGCGGCCTCAGATGATGATACTTTTGGTAAAATTGTTTTTTAGTGGTGGTGGCCTCAGGTGATGATTGTTTGGGTAAAATTTCCTTTTGTAGTGGGTGGCACTGAAAATGATAATGCTATTGGAGGTGATATAGGACAAATTGTTCTTTTGTGCTCGGTGGCCTCTGATGATGTTGATTTTATTAGATATGATTGATAGAAAAATTTCCTTTCCTTGTGGAGTGGCCTCTGGTAGTAATGATCTTATTAGATGTGATGAGGAAAAATTGTGTGTTCTCTTGGGATATTGTTACAAGAGATTATCAGGGTAAAACTGTCTTTCTCTGGTGAGTGGGTTTATATGGTTGTTTTGGTTAGTGGACCCTAATGAGTATCTTATTAGAGGTGAAGGAGATAAATAGTTGTTTTGGTTAGTGGACCCTAATGAGTATCTTATTAGAGGTGAAGGAGATAAATAGTTGTTTTGGTTAGTGGACCCTAATGAGTATCTTATTAGAGGTGAAGGAGATAAATTGTTGTTTTGGTTAGTCGACCCTAATGAGCATCTTATAAGAGGTGAAGGAGATAAATTGTTGTTTTGGTTAGTGGACCCTAATGAGTTTCTTATTAGAGGTGAAGGAGATAAATTGTTGTTTTGGTTAGTGGACCCTAATGAGTATCGTATAAGAGGTGAAGGAGATAAATTGTTGTTTTGGTTAGTGGACCCTAATGAGTTTCTTATTAGAGGTGAAGGAGATAAATTGTTGTATTGGTTAGGGGACCCTAATGAGTATCTTATTAGAGGTGAAGGAGATAAATAGTTGTTTTGGTTAGTGGACCCTAATGAGTATCTTATTAGAGGTGAAGGAGATGAATTGTTGTTTTGGTTAGTGGACCCTAATGAGTATCTTATTAGAGGTGAAGGAGATAAATTGTTGTTTTGGTTAGTCGACCCTAATGAGCATCTTATAAGAGGTGAAGGAGATAAATTGTTGTTTTGGTCAGTGGACCCTAATGAGTTTCTTATTAGAGGTGAAGGAGATAAATTGTTGTTTTGGTTAGTGGACCCTAATGAGTTTCTTATTAGAGGTGAAGGAGATAAATTGTTGTTTTGGTTAGTGGACCCTAATGAGCATCTTATAAGAGGTGAAGGAGATAAATTGTTGTTTTGGTTAGTGGACCCTAATGAGTTTCTTATTAGAGGTGAAGGAGATAAATTGTTGTTTTGGTTAGTGGACCCTAATGAGCATCTTATTAGAGATGAAGGAGATAAATTGTTCTTTTGGTTTGTGGACCCTAATTAGTATCTTATAAGAGGTGAAGGAGGTAAATTGTTGTTTTGGTTAGTGGACCTTAATGAGTTTCTTATAAGGGGTGAAGGAGATAAATTGTTGTTTTGGTTAGTGGAACTAATGAGTTTCTTATTAGAGGTGAAGGAGATAAATTGTTGTTTTGGTTAGTGGACCCTAAAGAGTTTCTTATTAGAGGTGAAGGAGATAAATTGTTGTTTTGGTTAGTGGACCATAAGGAGTATCTTATTAGAGGTGAAGGAGATAAATTGTTGTTTTGGTTAGTGGACCCTAATGAGTTTCTTATTAGAGGTGAAGGAGATAAATTGTTGTTTTTAGTTGATTACCACTGGTATTGATAATGTAACTAGTTAGAAGTTTGATTGCTTCTCTACAAATATTATATCATTTGTGAATTTAATTGAAATATTGTGATTGTAGGAGGAGAGAGTGGGACCAAATGGTGCTTTACAGGTTATTAAAATAGCTCATGCTAGAAATGGAGCTCTGCCACCATTAAATACTGAAGTAGAGCCTAGCAAGGGTCAGGTAAGTTTATTTATAAAACATCTTTTGACTATAAGTTACAGAAAATAAGTGGTAATTACTTAGTGTTGTTCTATATTAAGATAAGGAGCTATGGTATGATTGACATTGCCAATGAGACTATCCACCAAAAGATCAAGGGCATCAATATACAACTACAAGTTGCCTTACAGCCTTGAACCATGAGTAAAACCTAAACTGTATAATAAGCTATACAAAAGTCTTAGAAATGGTTAGCCAGCTTTTGATGAGGTTTACCCTGGTTTTTCTAGAAAATTTAATATATTAAATATTGTACTAGCAATGTGCATGTGTTGTAATTCCTTTTTTAATTTTAGGTTGAAATTTCCTCAATATCTAATTGAAGTAGGTAGAAACAATGACATTGGTCTTATTACAGGACTCTAAAATTATAATTGTTAATAATACAAACAGGAAATTAATAGGGTATATTACAGACCTTAATAGACTGAGGGTATATTACAAACCTTAATAGACTGCTAACTATATAAATCTAACTAATATCAGTTTATTGATCTAAAATAGTAAATTGCTTGAAAGTTAATCTTCAATAAGTAAGTGATATCACATTTATATTCTTTCTATGATATCAAAGCTTTTTTAAAGGAACTTTTTGTTTATCTTATTTTTAGTGAACTGTTTATATGACATATTTTTAAATAATTTCTTTTTCCCTTTATACCAGAAGAGAGGGAACAGTCGTGCCAGTAGTGCTGTGGTGAAAGACAGTCTGGCCTCACACAGAGAAAGATTAGGCATGATGACTGATGCTAGACCAAGTACCACACATGCAATGAGGGTAGGTAGAAGTGTGCACATCTCTCTCCCCCTCCCATCTTCACTACAATTCCTCTTCATACAGAGATTAATATGAGAGGACAATTGATTCTAGACAATGTATCAAGAATAATAGGAGTATACAGTAGTGGTGTGTTAAAAAAAAATGTCTTCTTTCCTCACTCATCTTCACAAAGGCGACATCAGATTCTAAATCAAGAACCATGCATGTAGTCATTATAAAATTCTCTAAAAAGTATTCTAGTTACTGCTGTTAATGATTGATATAACTGCAGAAAAAACACACGAAGGCGAAGGAGGAGTTGTTAGGAACTAAATCCCTCTCAAAACAAAAATCCTATTGAAGTTGAGAATTCAGATTGAAGTTTTACTATTAAAATCAGAATGTTATGACCCCAGGTAACCCCCCTCAAGACATCCTGGCTACAGGCCTGTGTCCTTCACATAACTAAAAAAAAATATCTGCATGTCTTTTCAGTAGCAATACATTGACAGCCATTCATACCAAATAGTGGATGACACCCCCATCCACCATTTCCATACAACACCTATGAATGTATTACAAGGAAACCTGTCTATAATGACATAGTGTATCTTATATTTTATTCATTCATCAAATATGTTATCTGGGTTTCCCATTGGCCAACATGGATCCTATTGGGGACAAGGTTATAAAGTTGAAGTTGCACATAGTACATCAAATCATAATATTTGTATGAAATTGTTTTGAAATGAAAAACTTTCCATTTAATAGATCAACCATTCTATATTTTCAGTCTGATACACCTCAAGGAAACTTCAATTCAAGAAGGGCATCAACACCATTTGGACCAGTTTTGAATGCTATACCGTCAAGAAGTGCTATTGGAGGTGAGATGTTTGTTAAATTCATAGCGAAATCCTATAATTTTGCCATCATCATGTCATGAAAAAAAGGGGGTGGAATTATTAGAAATACACAATTTGAACTTAAAAGTTTGTTTACTTATAAAGTGTTTTAAATATCATCAGAGATCCTACCACTGTATCTCAATTGATACAAAAGTGGTACACTTTACTCTTAAATGTTTAACATTTAAATTCAATTATCTTGAATAGAGACATATTATAGCTCACTCAATGCAATGGTAGAATCTATATTTATCTGGTCTTAAGAATGTCTGGAGCAATTGAAAGAGGCATACTGTGGATTCGTTTATTTTCAGGGATACCAATTTTCGTGTATAGTAGAAAAATAGTATTTTCAGGGATACTTTAATTTATGGTTTTGACAAATTTTGCATACATATTTAGTAAATGTGTACTTCATGGTATATTTAAATTTGTGGTTTACCTATAACCACAGAATCCACGAAAAATTGGTATCCAATGAAAATAAAAGTGAATCCACAGTATCTGTATTTAAGTGGATTAGGTATGTAGAGGTAAACAAAGTCTGAAAATAAGGAGATGTGGTATGACTTCCAATAAAACATCTATTCACCAGAGTCCAAAGAACAAGAATGAGAACAATTACAGGCATTGTACAGTGTAACAATGAACAAAACTTGTACTGTATAGTATTAAACTATAAAATGTCAGGCATGAAAAAAATCTGAACCAATTTAAAAGAGAAGTCCAAGAGCCATATTAATATTAAAACAAAAAATGAAAAACAATTATGTCAGACTTTAACCAAATACAACCACTGGATTACAGTCTATAAACTGTTTCTGAAGCAAGTAATCTGACTGGCTTTGTTTTTTTCAAGGGAAGTAAATTCAACAAATTTCAGGCAGCTGTAAAATAATTCCTTTATAGATATAGTTGCAAGAGTTATCCTGTGTTGCATAAAGTTTATTAGTAATAGACAGACTAACATGTATTTAATATTTGCCCAGGATAACCTTGAAATTTGATTGTAGGTGGAGGTATGGTCCTAGTAGGCAGTGGTTTACAGCCATCTAGTGAACATCCTTTACCATCAGAAATATTGGAAGATCAAGAAAGTATAGAAGATGTTCCATATAATAAATGGAGTAAGTTATCACAATAATATATATGTATAAAGTCAAGGTGAAGGTCATTGCTGCATAAAGTCAAGGGTGAAGGTCATTGCCAAACAAACAAAAAACTTCTATTAATAATCATTTAATTTTTAATTTTCACCAATTTCATTATTCAAAATGAATACATAAACAAACTATATAGATGTGAAAACTTTTTCAGAATATTTATTTTAAGTTTCTTCAGAAAGCCTGTTGTGAAATTCAAGCTTTTTGACATGATATTTCTTTAGTTGTGGACTCTTTCACTAATAATTAGAGAAGGGTAGATGTACTTTTTATTATTTCCATCACAATTAGACAAAAGAGACCCACATGTATGTAGTAGTTTATTGTTGTTTCAGTTAGTTCTGTTATGAATTTTAAACCTCTTGTTTTTTATCAGATTTATTTTCACATTATTTATTTCTATACGGTGATTCATAGAATAATTAAAATTTAAATGCTTAAGAGACAGTAATTATGTTTGTTATGTGCAGTATTTATGACTTTTAAATTACAGTGATTTTGAATAGGAATGATATGTCATGCATTTGAATGAATTTTTCCTATGACAATATTTTCTTCCTACAAATTTCAATGGATTTTTCTCTTTTGATCCAAAACAAGCAATTATTTGGTTTATGTGTAATCATGGATATACATCTATTGCCATTCATGAGGAACTAGTTTAATGGCTTGAATCAAGATCAAAAAATTTACTTGAGTTTTTGAAAAAAATATTGTTTTGACTAGACCAATTACATTGAAAAAAGTGAAATCAGATGAATTAGAAAACACTGGCAAGAACTGTATGCTTGAAAGTGTTTACAATGCAATTTTGTATAGAATTTACATATCTAAGAGACGTAATGTAAAATACTGATTTTCGAACTTATCTGCACTAAAGTTAAGTTGAGCGAGTTATAGATTATTAGAACTACATTTAATTGTGGAAACTGTCTGTCACATAAATAGAACAGTTTGTATTTTGAAAATGTTCCAGCACACATATAGAATCAATTGTTTTAGAAAATGTTCCATCATGCATACAGAATCATTTGAATTTAGAAAATGTTTCAGCACGCATATGGAATCATTTGTATTTAGAAAATGTTGCAGCACGCATATGGAATCATTTGTATTTAGAAAATGTTGCAGCACGCATATTGAATAATTTGTATTGAGTAAATGTTCCAGCATGCATATTGAATAATTTGTATTTAGAAAATGTTCCATCTTGGACATAAAATTATATTATTTTATCTTGGTTATCACAGGTCCACATCCTATTTTATCACCTAAATCACAAAAGTTTATGGACTCTTTGTAAAGGTAAACAGTACTACACATCCCTTCCTACGTGTGCTTTATTACATCATATTCAATATAAAATGTTTGTGTGTGTGAAAGTTGTGTCAAGCAAGTGTGGTACACATTGAATTTATTTTATGCACAAATAACGATCACATTTTGTGTGGATATTTTTTATTTGAGAATCTGTTCATTAAGTATAAATTATGTTTATTGATGAAACTTTGATTATCGTATACTTGTTGATTTTTTTGCTTATATTTCAGCTTCATAGATCTTCTTTTTCACTAATGTTCTGTTTGGTGAAACATTTAATTGTTAGTTATCACTATAATCAATAGAGAGAGAGAAAAAAACAATTGCATGTTGCTGTTTGAATTCCATTCTTCAAACTTACCAACAGGTTAAAAAATTTCAAAAGAATGGTTGTTATTAGAATAAAGCAGGTGCAATGTAATAAAATTATTCTTACCACCCAATTCGCCAAGGAAATTACCCATAATCCTTTAGATTCTGAAACGGCCTATTCCAATGTTTGACTCTTTGTTTCATCAGAAGTGTGGAAAAATCAAACATCTATAGTCATCAGCCACACTAGTATAAAAAGGTTGACTTTAATATGAAAATTTCTATCTTAATGATATTCAATAATATATTTGCTGTAAACTTTGTTTCATTGATTAATGAACTGTTGTGATATGCTCTGAAAATGAAGATGAAAATACATTTGTTAGATTAACCCGAATAATTCAGTCGTTATATTTCGCTGATCTACGATGGCTACATTAACGCCTGAAGGCTTTGTCAATAAAAAAATCGTCAAATAATCATTCGGAATTAGCTCGGGATTTACCTATCTCGATAACATTGAGCTATTTGCTGATTGGCTCTCTCTCTCAGAGAGCACCAATCAAAATCCTGGATTCGTGACGCGTTTTTATTGTATAAAGAATTCAGGCCCTCGCGAGTGGGAGAGTCGATCACAGGGAGGGACTGAATTATTCGGGTTATTGTTAGATAAGTGTAAAACTGGATATGTAAGGGAGATAACATTTGTCATAATTAATATCACCAGTAGCTATCATTGATTTTTCTAAAACACCAACTTCCATATCATTAATTTCTATAGAAAACCTAGCAATTATTTGACGACCCTTGAAATATTGTTTAGAACAAATAAATTTGTATCTTTAAAGGGCAAGTTCTCTTAGATGGGCATAGTGAGGGTAAATAGAGATTTGATTTTACAGGAAATGTGTACTCTATTAGATCAACATATAACTGATTTCAAATGGTTGCTATGTATTAAGATTAGTGAAAAGGAAACAGGGTAAACATCAATAAGACAGTAACCCGACAGTAAATCATAACAGAAATTGTATTGAGCTTACACTATTGTCTGCAAGGTTAAATATGGTCTCCATCATTAGTTTCATTAAGATCATATGTTTTCAGCATTTTTCTTTGTAAGTGACCAGTTGAATTATTTGTCCTGTCACGTCCAGTTTGACTAATTCTGAATATTTGTTTTTGTAGCACCTTCACCTCCCAGTCATCACAACCCATACTACAGAGGAAGGCTGAAGCATTATCCATTAGGTGTACGTCCATAGCACTTTCTTATTTATTCATTGTGCCAAACATGATACTGTTACTGGAATGTATATCTCAGGAGTATAACGTGTGGAGCATACACCTCAGGAGTATAACGTGTGGAGCATACACCTCAGGAGAACACTGTCAATGTTGTTTTATGTTACGTTATGAGTATCTCCTCGGAAATAGTTTTCTGATTATATTCATTCAAGGAGTTGAAAACTGCATATTAGTGTACACTAATCTCATCATAAGATTCTGGCATGAAAGAAAAATACCGGTGGTTGTTACTTTACAGGGCAAAAATCATTTTCTCCACATCCAGTAAACAGATTGTATATTGTTTGTTTGTTTTGCATTTAGATTCTGAAAATCTCATTTAAAGTGCTACTAGACAAGTGGCATATTAAACAAGACACAAGACTTCAGTAACAACAATTACATTAGTGCTGAATCAGAGACCCCTTCATAATTCAGTCATTCGACAGGGGAGATAATTCAGTTAGCTGAACAAAGGGAAGTAATGCAAGAACTAAAGGAAACAAATTCTTGAGGCATTAAGTGATTCCTGAGTGTTTACTGTTAAATCTGTGCACAAAAATAAATGGCAGCAAATGACAAAACTTACAAAAAATTGCCAAATTGACATTTTACACAGCAAGACTGAAAAATGACCAAAATGGCAAAAAGCTGTGATTTGTCTTTCTGTGATAATGTAAATATGTAAATAAATATCTATAGAGGCCAAGGCAGCTTATTTTCTGCCTGAGTTACCTCACATATGATGTTCTGTGAATGTTTACACAGAAGGCATTATTGAATTTCTTAATCATGTTTCTATAGACATGTCTTAAATAAGGTTACTGCGTTTTTAATTCCATATCCCTCTACATATCATGTTTAAGATTTACTCAGGAAACATGGTATATGTCTTTATTCTTAACAATAAATCATTTCATTTTGGTTATACACATGTACTTGTATTTATTTATGATATATTTATGAATATTCAAACAGCTATATGGCAAATAAGTTATTATGTTATGTTAGTTTTTAATGCTGTTTTATTTAATGATGCAAGTCAATTAAAATTAAATGGCTGTTCACTTGAACATAAAATGGCAAATATTTTTGGACCTCTGAGGTAAGACTGCATCTGTGTATTCAAGATTTTAGGATAAAGAATGCAGAATTGTTAAATATGATTTTTGATTCCATTGCAGTCAAGTTATGCAAGTCTACACATCTTCCAATTCTGTCATTACACTGACATGTAAGACACAGACTTTGATGGTATGCCAAAAAACAGTGTATTGGTTTTCAATTCTCAATTGATTCCCATTAGTATTTCATATGATCCAAACACACAATTTTTTCCAGAAAACTGGTCTTATATCGTTAGTTTTGGAGTAAGTAATTGTTATTTAACACTATTGCCAGGAAGCAGTTCTGAAGCATTCTATCTTCCCTTTCCTCCTTTTGTTACAGTGGTTAACCCTGTGAAAATCCATCCTCTTTATTTATGGATGTGATATCCACGTCAAATTTTCATGTTACACAGGCAAAATATTTGAATGAGGATGAGACAAAAGTTCCCATCCATTAAAATATTTTTATTTTTATAAAAAAAAATCCAAAATAATGAAATACTATTGTATCAATTCAATGTGATAGTGCTAGCTACATCTTTTTTTTTTAAGTCAAATTTCCTAATTTTATAGAAAGATTTTATGTTAGTATATGTTGAATTATTTAGAAGGCCTTGCCATTTTGTATGTTGTTATATAAAACCACTGCCAGTTGTCCTGTAGTTTATTATTGTTGATTGCACTTAACATGTTGTTGACTAAAATAGCCATGTGATATTTTGTTTTGATACCTAATTTATGTTTTTTGGTAATTCTGTTCAATGTTTCAATGTAAACATTTTATTTTAAAACATTCCTATGGGAATAATTGCTAATTTTTATTGGTATTATTACTTATAGATTATTTTTTTATTATTGTTCTTTAGAAACATTTATCAATCATCCCTCCATACAAGCTATCACTCCGTCCATATTTCATAAATATCAAGTATTTAATACATGTATTTTACAATTGAATTTCCTAGACTGTCCATACGTTACAATGATATATATATTGTGATTCTCCTGAAATTTAAAAAAATAAATAAACCAACAATATATATGATTTTAATTTTGTTTTGTTATGAATAGTTCTATTTTATGAAACTAAGAGACATGAAGAAAATAAAAATTCAATGGTAATTTATAACTGATGTTTAGTACAAATCATTGTACATGTATTACATAAGTGGCATAACTAATTTTCATGGATTTGTCCAGGTTCATTAAAAACATGAAATTTAGTATACAGTAAAAAAATATAGGACATTGTCAGTTATATATATTTGTGCTGGATGTAACTTATAACCTACAACCAACATATTTTATACACATCATGCAAATTGATATCTACCAATAAAAATATTTAACAAGAAAACATTTTATATTCATGAGACTTTCATTTCTTAAAAGCTAGGGACAAATTCAGTCATGAACAGTCTACACATATTTTGATTAGTTGCAGGTTTTACAGCATGTGAAGCAAGCAATGTTACTATTATTGTTAATATCATTAACATATAAACCAACAGCTTTTTATGTAAAATCTTCACATCTTTTCAAAAATATTCCAAATTAATTGGGTTTTTTTCTGGTGTTGGACATTTGTTTTACAAGCTATGATCATTCATCTACAGACTTTTCGTAGCCTTTCAGAAAATAGGACTGTAAACCCAGAAAAATATACCGTATATTATTTCATTTTTGACTTTTTTCCCTGGTAAGAGTTTGTTATAAAGTACAACAAAAAACACATTTTGCACAGATAATTAAGCTGAGAAATGAAATCTTTATTTAGTTTTATGAAAAAGATACATGACATGAACATTTTCTTATATACAAGGAATTAGATAAGCCTTTATGTGAAAATATATAATTTAAATACAAAATTTTTGTTTGCTTATTTCCTTGAAGATCAATCATAGGTTCTTCTTTTTATTATATTTCATTAAAAAGTGCATTTATTTCAAATATTTTTGAGGTGACATTTAGTAATATTTATTGGTCCCATTTTTCACACACTGTAAACTTAAAAAGATGAATTTCAATTGAAGTTGTTAAAAAATGTCAAAAAGATTCTGTTTTATTCACTTGTAATCTTTTAATTAAAGACATTTTTAAAAAAAAAGTGTTAGTTGAAATTGGGACATTAATGTAACCAATGTTATTTTGCTGTGTACATATTATGCTGTAGCTATGTGCAATACGTGATCTGCTACACACGTTTAGCTGTAAATAAATGATAATACATATAGTGTGTTTATTTATTCTAGAAAAGGTAGAAAAGAGTGCAGGACAGCATGATTTCTGTATCTGGATATATAACTTTGAGCTTTCATTCAGTTTCTACAGCAGTATCAATTAGTTTTGTTTTTTGTTGTCCTTAATGCCTGTTTTATAGAGTTAAGTGCTTGTTCTGCACTGATTTATATGGTACCGTCTTCTGTGTGCCTTTTGTTATTCAATTGATCAAAATGAAAAAAGGAGGATTGAGTGCTTGAACAATAGTCTAACATGCCATATGTTAATGTGCTTGTAACAAGTAAGGAACCTTGTTGGTGATTTCAAATTTGAATATATATGTTGTTACAGATGACAAAATGGAGGTCAAGTTATATATTTACGATTTCTAATTTTACCATTCAGGAGTTATGGTTCTTATATGAAAAAAATGTTTAATTTGATTCAACAAAAATCCACAATCGCAGTTTATGAAATAGATCGAAATACAGACAATTTCAGATTGTAACTGGATTATTTTATGCTTAATTTGGTTGGAGGCATGCATGTATCACATTTGAAATCTTTTGAGACAATTTGACCAGAACTGACCCAGAACACTACTCAAAAAGACAATTAGGACCATTTAAGTTGACAACTCCAACAATCTATGAAGATAACTCATCCCATTCTTATGACCTAGTTAAATTTACTTGTTTCTTTGTGATTCCAGACACTTCACTCTTCCTAGAGGAATAAATAAAAGTATCTTATTTATAGAGGAGCAAAGTTGGCTAAGGGTCCAGTTGACGGGTTCCTTTATAATTTCACCAGAATAAAATGTCTTTAAATAACACTCTGAACATCTTCATCACTCCCATTGTTCCTTAATCATTTGTCTGAAAGTTTCATTGTCCTAACTGTGCGAACTATTGGAGTTATAGACAAGAGGCTGTCAGAGTGACAGCAAACCGGATTTTCCTGCAGAGGTCGAACCCTGAACAGTTGAGCAAGTATGGACACAACATTTAAGCTTAAAAAAGCTCTGAATTTGAATTGTGATTGAATATTTGACACAGTATAGGTTTGTGACACAAAATGAATGTGGTCAAAGAACTGAAAAATTTGAAATCGGAAATTTACCTATTAATATGGTCCAATATCCAAAATCTAATAACATTGTTATCATTAGCATATCAAAGAACCCCAAGAATTCAATTTTTGAATTGTTGATGAAATCAAACAAAAGTTTAATTTAGGACCCTTTGGACCTCTGGGGTATTATCAAATTAATAATGAAAATAAATACAGGTTTAGATTCAGCTTTTCAAAGAACCCTATATATATATTCAATTTATGTTGAAATCAAACACAGTAAAATTTTGGACCCCGATTTGGACCAACTTGAAAACTGGGCCCAAAATCAGAAATCTAAATATATGTTTATTAAAAGACAAACTAAGCTTATTTTTTTTTAAGGTAACACAATACCGAATGTCATATCTTCCGATTTCTAAGACTTTTGGCACACTTGTACTTTGATTCGAGTTACATCGGAATATGAAATAAAAAATGGGAGTCACCATTCTTGTTTTTTTGTAATTTTGATAAGTAAATGTCAAATTTGGCACCAAATTTACATAGATATATAGGGAAAATGCCTTTTTTTCCACTTACTTTTCTAGATTTTTCAATGGATGGGTATTTTCTCATATACGGAGAAAGACTAAAAACTAACATAATATCCAGGATTGTATACCAAATCCATACATGTTTAAAAAAACATATGTCAACATCCTTGTTTTTTACATAAATCGCTTCAAAGATGACCGATACGCTTAGAAATTGACAAAAATATGTGACGTTACAGAATACAGAATAACGTTATTTTTATTCAGAGGGATTGAAAAAAAAATGTAACGGGATCTGAATGGTGTTTGTTATTTTATTTTCATTCCCGCTGTCGGAAATTTCCTAATAATTCAATATAACATTTGACTGAGTTAATTTTATTTCGTCCTAACTTTGTGCACTTTTAGCTTTCAAAACTGAATCTTCAACTTAACCCTACCAAATTAGACAATGCTGATGACACCGATGCATCCATGCATGAATAAAATAAGGTGCTTCAAAAATTTGATTTGGTAAACAGTGATGTTGAAGTACAATTTGATTGATGGTTGCTTAACGTCCAGTGGCAAATTATTCATGGATTTTCAGGACGATACAATACAATTTGAAAAGTAATGCCTAAAAAACACATTTGATGCAGCCGTCAAAAAAGGTTACACATTCTGTTAGTTGTGAAAATTATAAAGAAAATCAACATCCTGATAAAATACGTATTCTATAAATATAGTATACTCTGTATGATGTAAACGTGTAGGTTGTGTGCATTGTTAGTTGGACAAACCTTGCAAACTGTATGCAAAATTTCACTTGAATAGACAAAAGTTCAACATTCTGTCATTTGTGGAAAATTATTAAAAAAAAAGTGATCCTGAGAATATATATGCACCCTCAATATAGGTAAAAAAAAGACTTGGTGCAATATATTATCAAAATGCCAAATTCAGCAACCTGTCATAAAAAAATAAAAATTTGACAAAATGCGCGTATTGTATATGTACTAACACCAAGTACATAATTTAAAAGTTAAAGCTTCAAAACTGTAATCCTAAAAAATCAGCCGTATAAACCCTATATACTAAGTAAGGGACGGACTGTCAAAGGACAATGGTAAAACAAAATGTTCCCAGCATTTTGTCAAGGGAGCAAAAGATATATTAGCATATATGATGATGTTCTATTTTATAAATTACTTGGTGACAAAATATCTTTTTGAATTAAAGAACCTTAGTGAGCGCGCTCACATACCCAACGTCCCCACATCGGAGAAATAAAATAAGTGTAAGAAAAAAAAATTGTATCAGAAAAATAATTGAATCATAATTTCCTGTCAATATGCACATCTACATAGTATGTCCTTATTATCTACACAGTTTCATGAAATTCTGTTGTGTGGTTTGAGAGGAGTTGCGATGACAAAAGGTTGCAGTAGTATATTGGGCAAATAAGTTCAAAGGGGCGTAACTCCTGGAAAAAAATTGAATCGTAATTTCCTGTCGATATGCACATCTACGTAGTATGTCCTTATTATCTGAAAAGGTTTCATGAAATTCTGTTGTGTGGTTTGAGAGGAGTTGCGATGACAAAAGGTTGCAGTAGTACATTAAAGTAAATAAGTTCAAAGGGGCGTAACTCCTAGAAAAGAAATTGAATCGTAATTTCCTGTTGATATGCACAACTACATAGTATGTCCTTATTATCTAAAAGGTTTCGTGAAATTCTGTTGTGTGGTTTGAGAGGAGTTGCGATGACAAGAAATAGGACTGACGGACGGACAGACGGACGGACGGACGGGTCAAAAACATTATACCCTCCGCAACTCGTTGCGTGGGGTATAATAAGCAGTTCATAGTGGAATGGTAATATGGAGATCTCAAATGTAGCAACTTAAGCAAGCTAACGTCTACGTCATTTGGTCTTTGTTGGAAAGTTGTCTAATTGGCAATCATACCACATCTCCTTATTTCTTAAGCGATTGAGTTTTCTCCTGAAATACAAGAATTTCTAAGACTAACAAATACGTACTAGGAGACTGAAATATATTGCTGTTATAGTTAAAATCTGACTTGTGAACATGTGATGTTATAATTTGATAGATTTGATACTTGCCATACTAAATATACTTATTAATTTTCCAATTCAAGGGACCAACAAATCTTTACTAAAACTACAAATTAGCAGTAAAAAAATACTCGTCCATCCTGCATTAGTCACGTGTTATATAGATGTCTTTGGTTTTGTGTGTCGTTAATTGGCCATTTGCTGTTTTATTGTATATCCCACATTTCCATTTATGCACACAAAGAAAAAACAACCTTTTAAATTTACTTAAACACTTGTATACTCCTTTTAAGACTGCGAAGTATCTGGGGCTTTTCCCGACGACTATGTGAGCAATATGCCCATCCCCAAAAAGGCACCTTTGCTAATCGTCTGTGAGTCATTCTGTCTCCCAACTATGTGAAAAGGTACGTTTTTTTATCCGCTGTACCTGTACATCATGTCCAACTCAAAACACCAAAAACACCCATCCCCCGAAGACAAAGTGCAAATTAAAATGAATCTAAAATAAAATCGATTTTAAGATCTCAATGGATTTTTGTCCCCCGCGCGACGCGTTGTGGTGGACATACAAATACCAAGCGTCCGTCCTTCCGTCCGTCCGTTTGTCTGTCTGGTCTTGTTAGCTCTCTGACGTGTACAATTCTTGCCTGATTTTTATAAAACTTGTATATTAGGTTTATATTAGCATTTTTGCTGACAAGTTTGAAAATCAATGCTGATCAATTATTTTTAAAAGAGTCATGCCCCTTGGATATATTAATTAGTATATGGAAAATTGCATTTTTAAGCACTCTCACGTGTACAATTTTTACCAGATCTTTAAATAATTTATATTAAAGGTTTATATCAGCATTGTCTTGGATAATTCGAAGGTCAGTGCTGATCAACTATTTTTAAAAGAGTTATGCCCTTGGAAATAATAATTATATCGAAAATTGCATTGCATTTGCTCTCAAATCTGCATTTCTCTATTAACAATATTTATAAAAAAAATCAAAGAACAAACAATTTTTTTAAAGTTATAATGGCCATTGACAGATACAATATGTACAACGCGGTAGGGGGGATTGGATTGGGGGGCATTGGAACTGTACTTGTAATCAGTTTGTTTTTGCCGTTTGAATAAAATAGGTTAATGAAAATATCTTCTTGTAGCTTGTTTGCGTTAGAAGTGCTTCTCTGGATTTACCTTCATCGAAGCACCAATCATTCATTCATTGTGGGGCCATAGGTTTTTAATTAATCGTTCGATTGTAAATTTCGAGAAAATAATTTATTTCAGAACTGAATTGAAAGAAAAAGATGTAACGGGATCTGAATGATTAAATTTTATTTCGACCTAACCGAGTGCACATTTAGTGTTGACATCCCATATGTTTAAGCCTTTGTTAACTTTCTCCTTATTCCGATGTAGCTGTCCTGTTTAGACTGTGCTTATAAGATTACAATGCTAGTAGTTTCTTTTAAACAAGCTTTCGAAACCATATCAGATTTCTTCTGTATAGTCCAATAAATTTCAAAGACTGTTTACACTTGAAACATAGGGAAAGTTGTTTGGCCAAATAGCCAATTTCAACTACTCTTCTTTTTTCATTCCATGCCAATAAACCAGTTTCTGTCTGAGTTTGTACGTCTGCTTGCATGGTGCTTTTTTTCGCTAAATTCTATCGGTATTCTTTTCCAAATAAATTTCCTTTTTCTATTTTGCTAGCGACGTTTTTCGGTGACCATTTAAAAACGAATGGGCTTCTTAGCGGAATTGCATTAATTGTGGTACAATTCCCCGTATTTTCATACATTATCATGCGTTTCTATAATTTGGATTTCTACTTTCAAAACAAAATTTCAACGGCGTGCATCCTTAATAAGAATGTATTGCAAAATTAAAAAAAAAAAAAACCCAACCCAAAATAAAAAGCTCAGTCTGTTATTCATAAGAATATATATAACAGGCTATTATTTGAACTTGGAATTATTTTTAATTATGGAATTTGCATAATTTCTTGTGCTTGAAATTTTTAATGAATTCCATGTTTATTCTGTATTATAATGTTTTGAGTGGCGCATAACACTTTCCATACAATGTATTTTGTATAGATAGTGTTGTGCGCGGCACAGTACATTCTATTGAAAATGTGCTATATTCTTTGTAATAAAAAGTGTTGTGCGCCGCACAGAACATTAAAATACAGAATAAACATAAAATTTATTAAAAATCTCAAGCACAAGAAATTATGTAAATTCCATAATTAAAAATAATTCCAAGTTCAAATAATAGCCTGCTATATAGATAAATAGTACAAATGCTTACTTATCAATAGAAACAGAACATTTAAAAAGTATATATTTAAATGTGAAGAATGAGAAGAAGAATGGGAGGAAGACGCCGAAGCAATGAATGTCAAATATATAACATATTGCATCAAATCCCTCGACATTCTGCATCAATGCAAAGTTACTATTAAAAATGTAAATAAAAAATAAAAGGTTAATTTATTATTTATATTTCACCTAAGTGTGGTTTTTTTTCTCATTTTTGTTCTTTTATTTGAATCGTAATTATGCAAAGTTTTTTGTTTTTGTGATTGAATATGATACGTATAGAAAGGGATGCTAAAATGAAGGTATTTTTATGTATAATCATATATATTTGCAAATTTGAAATAAAGAAACATTTATCGTTCAACTATTTTATACCAGACTGAGGCAAAAAAGTTATTATAAAACATCAGATTTTACGTTTGACGTCAATTTCAAAGATGTAGACAACAGCAGGAACAATAACTCGTGGCGTAACGTCATTCGGTATCGTGTAACCTTATAGGAGTTTGTTTCATCAAAAAAAATATATATATAGCATTCAGAAAATAACTTTATACAGAATAACAAACAAACCAACCACACAATTCTTCAAACAATTTACAAAAGAAAAGATGAAAAAAAATCCAAAATGTCATACAATATCTATTAAAAATCTATAAAACTTATCTGTAATTATCTTCAAATATATAATAATGAACAGTAAATTTCAAACTTTATTTATACTGTCCTACAGATCTTATCATCAACACTTAGGAAACAGAACATTTTCAAATAAATCTGTCACTATATAATTGTGTGATAAGATATTTACCAGATGTTTTGTTATCTATTAACAGGTGACAATTATTTAAAAACACTTAGTGTAATCAAACTTTATATATATAATTAATAGTTCCCAATATTTTTTCTTTCATTTGTCACAAACTAATATAGATCTGCAACTTATCTATCAATGTCAACAATTTTATCTACACAATGTGATGTAATGAAATATATCCTTTAATAAAAATAGATTATTATCTAATGAAAATGATATTTGCAAATCACAATTTCTGTTCAAAGGGAAATAACTCGATCATATAATATGTATATATTTGGACTTCTAAAAAGTCGAAAACTCAAAAACGAGAGAAGCTAAAATCATGAAAATTGAACTGGACCTTCATTTAGTCACAGGAAATGTCCGCCGTACATCCCCAAATCAATAATCGATTTTTCCTTCGAAAATCCGGTTAAAAATCTAAACATCACTTTTGCTCTGAAGACCATTTCCCAAACTGATGCTCAAGTTACATGCAAATGTCATGAAATCTGAAGGATTGACAAAAAAATCCTGGGGAGAACACTTGATTGCCTTTTTAGTACCTTTTATATCTTTAAATGAATGCTGATTTCAGAAAGAATGCAGTTTTCATGAAGTGGTGATGATGTATATTTTGAAATTAAGGTGATTAGCATATGAAGCAAGAGAAGAACCCAAATATTTTTTTACCATTTAAACAAAGATATCTGCTTAGTTATTTAACCAGTATGGAAAAGGATACAACTCAATCATATCTCATATGAAATGCAAACGCTAAATACTGTGAAAATGCAATAAAAATCAATTCCAAGAATAAAAATATTTTATTGAATTGCTAATATGAAACAGCTTAAACATTCATATAGTAATTTCACAATCATGTTTGATTTCTTAGAAAATTCTGTAATTTCAAGACTACATTGCCTATATAAAGTTATATCAAAGCTTTATATTTTAAAGGTTCAAAAACTTGGAATTTTTAGAACTTTTAAAATTTCTTGTTTTTAATGTTACATGTCTAGGTGGTGATAAGCTAGTCAGCTTAAAAATAAAATACAGTGCTTTTTAACCAATACTGCTTTTAAATACAAATAACTACTGTTGCTGTTAAGGATTCTATTTTCTACATGTTCTAAAAAATTAATACAATATCTGTATTTAACATTAGTTGGACATATAACAATGCGTTAATGTAACAAATATCAAATTTCAAAGGATGAAATTTGGGATAATTTTCCACCATAAATATAATTTTCATGATAATTAGGCAGCACTTCAATAAGTAATTAAGACTAAAAATAACCTTTTCTTGATTTAAACAAATTTCCATAGGCCAATTTAGAAGGGGAGGGGCCCTTGTGGAGCTACATTTATGGTTAATTCATACTTTTTATTTGTTCCACTCCAAACTTTGTCTCTTTTTCAAAATCCTGGATCCACATCTGATTTCATAATATGTATATGATATATCAAAGTTATGTAAAATTAATGATAAGATCATGTTACGGTTTAGTTTCAATAAAAAATACACAAGCAAAGAACCAATTCTACCCAACCTACTTGGAATGATTGCATTTGATTTTATTCTTCATATTTGTTTTTTTTTATCTAGTAACTAAATTCTTATCAAAATTTATATTTTAAATGATATAAGTTCAGACATAAGGAGCATGATGGTGATACCCAGTAATTGCCCTCTTGGCACTAATATTTTTTTAAATATAAAAAAAAGGAATGACAATTAAAGCAGAACAATTTGCTACATTTGCTTTAAAGCTATATTCTGAAATAAAAAAAGGAAATACAACACCACTGGTTTAAAAAATTGTGGCATTATATTGTAATAAAAAAGAAATGATAAAAACTCAGATATTTTATTGGATTATCCTTATAAATACCTTATCTGTTCTTTTTAACTTTTAAGTGAATCTATCCTCACAATCAATTAAAAATGTACATATATTTATAGTATCATAAAATAATTAATAAACTGCTTTGCCTAGCGCAGCTGGATACGACCGCAGAGGTCCAACCCTGAACAGTTGGGGCAAAAATGGACACAATATTCAAGCTTGATACAGGTGTGAATTTGGATTGTAATTAAATATTTGACACATTATAGGTTTCTGACACAGAATAAATGTAGTCATAGAACTTGAAATTGGTTATATGATTTGGATTTATATTCAATTGAAGATTTCTTGCTTTTGTGCAATACACTGTGCTGTTGTGCAATACTTAGTAAATCTGTTTTCAGACTATATACAGAGAATTAGCAAAATAAATTGATCCCTAATTTTTCTTTGGACCCCCCAAAATTTTTTTTGCCCCCCACCCAATTTTTTTTTACACCCCCCCCATTTTTTCAAAAAAAATAACATTTGAAGAAATTTTCTATTTGTAAAATGTGGTACAATTTAAGAAAAATCAATACATTTAAACACAAGTCATTGCCTGAAAATTAAAAAAAATGCTTGTTTTAGACCCTTTTTGGCCCCTTATTCCTGAACTGTTTGGGCAACTACCCCCAAAATGAATCCCAACCTTCTACCTGTGGTACTGAAACTTGTGGTACAATTTCAGAGCAATCACATTACTTATACACAAGTAATTGTCCTGAAACTAGAAAAATGCTTGTTTTGGGCCACTTTTGGGCCCCTAATTCCTAAACGGTTGGGACCATCACCCCCAAAAACTATCCCAACCTTCCTTTTGTGGTATTAAACCTTTTGATTAAATTTCATAGAGATCCATACACTTAAACTAAAGTTATTGTCCGGAAACCAAATGTCTTCAGACGACGACGACGATGCAGAGACGACGACATGATAGCATTATACGACGACATGATAGCATTATACGACCCCAAAATTTGTTTGCGGTTGTATAAAAACATTTGTATTTTTCCTGTTATCGTTTTCAGAAAAAAATTATTGTCATAAAAATATGTTAATAAAAATGCAAAAACTGCTCTCTGCAGTAAATAAATACATTTGATCATTTTTACAAAATAATTCCATCTGTTAAGGATGTTCTCTCCTCTGTTTCAAAATAACAAGCTTTTTAAAAGACTGTTATCAATTGATAGTATATAAATAAAGGAACTAAAAAATCAGAATAAAATGAAGTGTCCATTTTCTTGTTTTTCGAGATATACGCCACTGAAAAATTGGCGGGAAATGATTCTCTCTAGATTTTTCATACATTTACCATTGGCACCATTTTACTTTCAAAAACTAAGAAAACATAACAAAGATTTTATAATATTTTCAAATATGACTTTAAACTATATGGAATAAAATTATGAAAAAAAAAGTAGGGGTTAGAGGGCAAAATTTTTTAATGGCACTACATGGATAAAACCAGAGGATTCCAAATATCTAGCAAAAATTCAAAAATAAGAGGAGCCAACATCCTTAATAAATAAGAAAATTAAATATATAATAACAGAGAATAGCTGAAGGTTAATCAAAAATAAAATGATACATTAATTCTTATGATTATCTCCTTTTTTAATTTATGCATGCTGATATTATGACTGAATATTATATCTCTGCTACCCACTTTTTCAAGCTAAAATATAAATTTAACTTACCACATCCATAAATATACATTTTATTTCGTTTTTTAAGGTAACCTCTATAAAAATAGAAATCTGAAGACTGAAATTAACCCAGAAAATTTTAAATATTGATGATTTCAAAACAAAACAAGAACCACTGTAATACAATTCATTGTAAAAAATATTGGTTTCCAATCTTAATTCTTGCCATGAATATCCCAAAAGAAACTGCTGTAAAAGTTTTTTGTTTGTATTATAGACAAATCTGTTGTTCCAAAGCTATTTTATCTAAAGACAACAGTATATACCGTCATTGACTGGAAAAAATATTAAAATATTAAAATTTATTTTGTTTGACCCTAAGATTAAACTGTTGTATTGAGGAAATTACATTAGCTCTGATGGCGGAACAAAATAGCCATCGACTCAGAACTCAATCTGTAGCTGGTTTGTTATGCCACTACCAAATACCATTTACCAATCAGAATTAAGTTGCAGGGATCAAGTGGTCCAGTAAAATTACTGATTCTTTTGTATAGAAAATATATCAGAAAATGCTATTTTTAGGTAAACAATTTATTAAACAACAAAGAAAAAAAATAAATAAAAAGAGATTATTTTACAGCAAATTCTTGTTTTATAAACATTATCATTTACATAAAGTGTTCAAAAAGTATACATGGAAAATGTGCTTTTAAAAAGTACTCCATAATAAATAAGGTTTCATGTTAACAAACAAATATATATGACTACAAAAAAAGATAACAAAATAAACAACATATTGACCATAAAGAAAAATCTGTGGAGATTAAAATGTCTATCTACCTTTGGTATGAATTGTTCTTAAGTAGTAAGTTTTTATACAACAGATTCAGTATACTAGTAGCTGTGATTGTAAGTTATATGATTACAATTGTAGGATATATTTTGTAATTTTAATAGCAAACACTTAATAATATTTTCTGAATATCAACCAATCTTGTTTTAAAAAAAGTAGAATTAGTTAATGTTTAGCCATGTAAAAAAAATAAATGAAAATGATTGACAAAAGTATCAGATTTTGCCACTCTCTGTTTCAAAGATACAGTAACATTAACATCACCATCTTACTATACAACTTAGTTAACAATTATCCAAGTGTGAAATAACAGCCTCACATAATGTTGACAAACTGTAAACCAACTTATTTTCGCGGATACTCTATTTCGCGTTTAGCCCTTTCTAGTCCACTTCACGGCGATTTAATTTCACAATTTTCAAATATATTTGATGTAGTTAAATAGGAGAGATCCAAGTTTTATATATTCACGGCGATTTGTATTCGCGTTATTTTTCTTTTCGCTAAAATTGCAAAAATTAATCGCACGCCAAAATTAGTTGGATTACAGTATCATACTGAATTTTTGAGGCACAGACATAAAACTGTAACAAAGTAGGGGTAAACTGACTCAAACATCATAGAACTGGTTTGCTTTATAGCAGGAATGTACTGTATTCCCTGTTCTAAAAGGTACACCTGAGTATTAAGTCCAGGCCCAATTAGTGAAAGAATTGTACTATTTACCTGTCTGGGTAGCATGAAAATAATATTGATAACTTACAACTCTAGATTTCTAAAATTTAGTTCCTTTCTTACGAGAGAGAGAGATCAGGATTATCCATATGTTGATAAACTGTGTTTTTCCATTAATAAATGTGTATTTAGGTAAAATACCACTGTTTAATCACTATGGATCTCTGGGAAACTAACCTTTATTTTATAAACATAAAGTTTAACAAAAATTACTGGAGCATGCAAAGTTTGTTATGGCAACCAAAATGTTGGTGAACGACAGAATCAATCTATAACATGGTGGCTAATTTAATATCATTGACAATCAAGAATTTTAGATTCTTCATGAATCATTATGTTACCAAGCAAAAGGCAAATTTTCCATGAACATAATACATAAAATGCTGAATATAAGTTCAACCCTGTCCCATGTTTATGTACCTGTCCCAAGTCAGGAACTTTGTTAATGGTTTTCTATTCATATATAAGTGTTTCCGTGCCATAAATTATTTGTTGTTGATTTCAGATATTTTGGTATATTTTTGGAGAAAAAAAACTTTCAAATTTGTCTAGACTGGTTGATTAATGGCTTCTTGACACTCGGTATAGGGACGTGTCTAATATGAAGACTGTGCAATAACCTTTAGATGACTTTTACAGGTTTTTGTCCTGTTACTATGGTGAATACTTCATTATTTTGCTGTTTCATTGATGTATATCTTAAAAAATATGAATTCATAAAAATTATTTTAACGATTTTCTCCTTGACCAATAGAATTGACACTTACCAATAAACTATGTCAAAGAAAAATTCCTGATCAATGTAAACTTATTCATTCACAACCAATTTGGAATTACAAATAAATCTGTGCCTATAAGACAGTGGATTAAGATAACATACATACATCTATTTTCACAGTACATAATGTTTCTAATTTGTTTAATACATTACATCCTTTCTACTTATAATATTAAAAACAAGACTATTTACAATGCTGTCCTAGCAACAAAAACAAAACAAACAATAAAAACATGTATTTTGATCACAGTCTGAGAAAATAATAAATAAACTCAAATTAATCATTACTCTAAAATGGTTTATAAATATTTGTACAAGGCTTTTTCTTCAATTTTTTATATACACAATTTGTATGTTTAATAACCTGTGCACAGGATTTGATTCCAATATGGAATTATGTATTGTATCATGAAAAGAATTAAAAAGTCAGAAATATAAGTAAGAAGTTTGATTCTGATTGCATGAAACAGAAACTACATAGAAATAGCCCAAAAATATGAGATGCTTGTTTGTCTACTTATTTACACTATGTTTATCTGTCAAAATTGTTATGATTTCAAAAAATGGCTTCTATCAATCATATTTTCAATGTCTTCCCTAATATCAAAACCTTCACCCTTACCAAGCTGATGTTTAGTTTAAACAATATTGTATTAAAATAAATTGAATTGGATTGGGCAAGAGACCATACCTATTTTAAGACCTCTCCACCAAATTTGCATGAAAGATTTATCATAGGTGTCACTAATGGGGCATGAACTTTCTGCCCTTCTGTAGCACCACAGGTCCAGGTTTTGTTTTTATCATCAGTTTTGTGTAGTAGTGTTAATTCAGTAATTATTGTGATGTTTTCATTAATGCATAACTGTGACAGTATCAGGTTTGCAATAATAAAAACTTGCATTCACATATTGAGTAGTGATTTTTGCCAGTGGTCAAGGATTCGCAATAATAAATGCATGCACTAGTTTTTGAATTTATAGCATTTAGTGGTTCTTTGATTTTTTCCATTAGCCACTGTGTTGTCTGCTTTTGTTTGATTTTTTGTATGCCCTCCTCTCTTTAGTATCTTCTTTACATTATCAATACTGAAAAAACATTTATACTATATTATTTACCCTGAGTCCATGGTATAATGAATATACACAGATGTTACTACATATAAATTTACTATCTCTAAATTGTGATTTATGTCCATCTTTAAGGAAAGTTCAGAAGTTTATTTAATATAATAAACAACTAAATTAAAATCAGATAACACATAAATACTCTTAATCAAAATGAGTGTAAATATTATTCTTAACAGGTGACTTTGAATTCTAAAAAACAAAATCAAATACTTTTTTAAAAAGAAATAATGCACAAAAATTGTCCAAACTAGAAAAAAAGACTATAACTATGGTGTCTACAGATTTAAAGACAATTACTCAAATATGGAAGTGTAAACTAAATTTTGCAACATGCATTTTTATTCTATAAAAAACATTAAACTTAAATTGATTGGTTTATATATGAGTCCGAGTACAATAATCGTACTCAAATGTTTTATGTCCGTAAGCACTTATCTGACAATTAATAAGAAACTTTTAATCAAAATGATGTTTAACACTTCACTATTGATTAATTGAGCAATAGACATTTCAGGAATATTTCAAATGTTTTATTTTAAAAGTACTGCATTGGAAAAAAAATAATAGTACTGTATTTGAAAAGTTGCCACTGTCAAATTCATATCTTCAAAAACAGGCATTATTTATCAATTCATGTAAAAAAAAACACAACATTTACAAAGAGAATTTACTGGAACATAAGTTCGAGAGAAGCTAGTCAGACTTTTTATAAACACATATTTTTCATTATAAAAACTTAGCCCATGATTAAGTTAAACATATATATTTTGATGAGTGTGATTCATTTTACAACTTTGTGATAATAAAAAAAAAAACCATTGTCATAACCATTTACCTAAAACAGTGCATCTAAATAAATCAAACAGTCAGATTCCATACAACAAACTAACAAATCAAATAACAGAACCAGTGAAGGTGAATTTATACTGTTTCCAAACCACAGAATACTTATGCCAAAAAAATAAACCAATAAACACTGAGATTCAGGTATGTATGCTCCAACCTTTAAATAGAACATGTTTTTTGTACTTTATTAAATGCTTAAACATAAATTTTACACAAAAAATTCCTTAAACTTTGATAGAAGAGAAACACTTATTTAGCAGTACAATGTAGTAGGTAATAATGTAAAAATCTCTTTTGAAATATCCTACCCATTTAAAATCAATCAAAATTGTTTTTTTTTTTCAAATCACATCAGCTTTCATTTAGATATGTGAAAACTGTTTCTACATTACGGTATTCTTAAAATATTATCTAGACCCCTTTGACAATATCTACCTGCTACCATCATGTGAACAGGATTTCATTTGTATGAACTGTGGTATAGAAACAGCTAATCTACTTATTCAGATAATAAAATCACAAGAAAATCAACAAAATAATTTAAATAAATGTCTTAACTAACAGTGTAATCAGCTGATTTAATTTCAAACATTATCACAAGGAACTGAAATAAAAGTTTATGGCTCGACTGACATCGTAATCGGCTGATATGATATGCAACATAAGGTCTTCATCACTGACATCATCACCTACGACTTCCTTCATCTGGTGAATACATGATTCTAATCTGGCTGGATCTTCTATCCTCAAATCTGACACAGAGGATGTGGTTGAAGATGAACTGGTCGATCCTGACAGTGTCTGTGGAAAGATAAAGGGAAGAAAATCTTGGATAGGGCTATAAATAACAGAGCCTTTGTGAAAGTCTTACTCAAAACTGCAAAAATGTTGATTTGAAAAATTATGATAAAGAGCATGAGGTTTTTTTCCTGTGAAATATAAAAAAACCCACTGCTTTCAGTTTAAAATCAAAAGCAAGTCCTACATTGAATTTTGAATAAAGCAAACTCATTTGTTTTATTCCATACACAGTTTTGTTAAGTGATCTGTCATGATCAAGTACATTTCATAAGGGCAATAATACAGTGATCAAGACAAATATCAACTTTGCACTGTCTGACAACTTAGTTAGGGTTGTTCTGATTATAAACAAATGATGTCGACAAATATTCAATAAAACTTTATTCTAAAAACACCATGGTGCAGAATTTTCTATATATACAGTCATTTTAGTATCAACATTGCATAAAGAAACATTTTCATTTGACAATACTTTATAAGGGAAAACTTTCAAACCTAATAGAAAAGGCTTACCCCAGCAGCTAAATCCACCTTATGAATCATTTCTTCAATGTCACCAACATTTGGAGTTTCAGGATCACTGGAATCCTCTCTGAAAATATAGAAATATTCGGTATCACTAGTAACAGGAAGAAAAATCACATTTACAAGCATAAAACATTTAAGGTATCTATGTATTTGTCCTCATTAACTGGGTGATGTCTTGGGAAGATTGTACAAAAAGAGGACTACTGTCTATGTCATCAGCTGTGGCAAAGCTACTGTGTACACAACAAATTAATGTTAATGGCCTTGCTGCCATGCATAGTCACTAGACTTTTTATGAGGAATAATAGCCATAAATATTTTTTACATCACAAACTTTGCCTATTATCAAATTTTCTCTAATCATCAAACATACCCATTTGTCAATGCTTGTATTTCGTTCTTCAGATTCTGAGGTAATTCTATATATAGTTCACCTTCCATCAAAACAGGATGTTTCTGTATATACGACACTGTCTGTTCCTAAAAAACATGTAGAACTGTAATAAAATGAACCCTGCATTGAGCTCTGTCTAAACTGAACTGAACTAAAGATATGCATTAAATATTCTTTAGTAATATAAACTGAATACCTATCTATTCAAACAATATTTTTTATCTTAAAAAGGTTTTTGTGTAACCAGTTTTCGCTGTATAATGCATATCAATAAAACTTAAAAACACTTTACATTTTTCTTTATTCCATTCAAGTGAAAATAAATAAATGAGGAATGTGTCCATGGGACACAGATGATGCCCTCGCTTGCATATCATATTAAGTTATAAAGGGACATAACTGAAGAAAAGTAAAAGTGACGCTACCAATAATTGTACTTGATCTGAGTTTTGTAGTAATAAGTATTGTGTATAAGTTTCATAAAATTTGAGGCAAGCTTAAGTTAGAGAATGGAAACGAAAAATTCAGCAATTTTTCCGTTTGTAAAGGGGCATAACTCTAGAACGATTAAAGTGACACCACCAAAATTCAAACTTGATCTGTATTTTGTGGTAATAAGCATTGTGTATTAGTTTCATTACATTTGGTTGAGGCAAACTAAAGTTAGAGAACAGAAACGATAAATTTAGCAATTTTTCAATTTGTAAAGGGGCATAACTCTAGAACGGTTAAAGTGACACCACCAAAATTCAAAGTCGATCTGTATTTTGTGGTAATAAGCATTGTGTATAAGTTTCATAACATTTGGTTGAGGCAAACTTAAGAAAGAGAACGTACAGGAAAAATTCAGCAACTTTTCCACTTGTAAAGGGGCATAACTCTAAGATAGTTAAAGTGATGCCACCAAAATTCAAACTTGATCTGTGTTTTGTGGTAATAAGCATTGTGTATAAGTTTCATAACATTTGGTTAAGGCAAACTAAAGTTAGAGAACGGAAACCAACTATGGGACGTACGGACATACAGACGGACAAGGGTAAAACTTAATGCCCCCTCCGCTGCGGCGGGGGCATAAAAGCTGGAAAATAGTTCAAAAAAATTTTGAGATTCAAATGTTTGAACAGTATTTGCCTACCTTCAATGCCTTTTCTTAATTTAAAGGACATTACAATATTTGCCTACCTTCAATGCCACTAATTTAAAGGATATTACAATATTTGCCTACCTTCAATGCCGCTAATTTAAAGGATATTACAATATTTGCCTACCTTCAATGCCTTTGCTTAATCAAAATAACATTACAATATTTGCCTACCTTCAAAGCCTATGCTTAATTTAAAGGATATTACAATATTTGTCTACCTTCAATGCCTATGCTTAATTTAAAGGATATTACATTATTTGTCTACCTTCAATGCCTATGCTTAATTTAAAGAATATTACAATATTTTCCTACCTTCAAAGCCTATGCTTAATTTAAAGGATATTACAATATTTGCCTACCTTCAAAGCCTATGCTTAATTCAAAGGATATTACAATATTTGCCTACCTTCAATGCCTATGCTTAATTTAAAGGATATTACAATATTTGCCTACCTTCAAAGCCTATGCTTAATTCAAAGGATATTACAATATTTGCCTACCTTCAAAGCCTATGCTTAATTTAAAGGATATTACAATATTTGTCTACCTTCAATGCCTTTGCTTGGAGTTGATCAGCCATACTGAACAGATACAATGCTGTCTCATTGTTGACATGTTTCCCCAAAGCATGCTCACATACACTCTTTAATGTGTCCACCTGAAATAAATATGTAATAAAATTCAAACTTCCTACATTAGACAGTTTTGAAGACTTCAGGTATGTGTATAAGTTATTCTTAGGATTTTAAGGAAAAGATGAGCTATAGTCGAGGTATAGTAACGCAAGAATATTGACTGCTTTAACAGCTCAATAACTTGACCTTATATTGTGATTTCTTATAAAACTCTGTCCTCTGAATTTACCTTTATAATGATATGTTACACACCAACCTCTAGTTTGTACGCCATTGATGAAAATAAAATGTCTTTCCTTTACTTTTCACCATCACAACAGGAAATAAATGATGTCAAAAACAGAGAGTATTTGTTTTGCAAACATCATTAGATCAACTGTGACAGAATTGAGGTTATTTTAAATAAAAATTCATTTGTAACATTTTTGTTCAGTATATTTATAATATAAGAGAACTATACACTATTTGCTTTACAATCAATTTACATTCTGCATAAAAGGTTATAGAACAATATTAACAAGACACCTACTGAAGCTGCAGATTAATAGTTAGAAAAAATATCTCATATCTATAAAAGCTGCAGATAAATAGATGCTATAGAAAGAATACCTCATATCTATCAGCTAATGTAAGAAGTTCAGTAAGCTGCTCTGGTGTACTGTGTGAGGTATCTAGATTTCCTCCATATACATACTCTAGGAACAGGTTGAACACTTCTGGGTTGGTGTCATGGATGGTTATTTTCCTATATATAATGAAATCTATAGTTAAATTCATCATTTGACTTATGAACAATTATATGATTCAAAACCAGAACAAAAACTTGTGCTAAAAATAAACAGATAAAAGAACATTTGAAATATGGACCAAACAGCTAAACCTTCATGCTTCCTTTTGAAAATCATTAGTGATAATTTTTTCATGAGATATACATTTTTTTTGGAACAAAATCTGTTAAATGAGACCATATATATGCAGACAACACATATGTGACAAATTCTAATAATAATTAAAAATAGTTTAATTTTCTTTGTTCTTTTATAAGTCTTGTAACATTTATCCATTAAGTTATCTCCATCAAAAATTATTTTTTAATTTAGTTTCTATAAATGAAAAGTGGAGATAACTCTACATTCACCACACATCTCTAAAAACTGTAGCTGTTTTTTTTTTTAATGAATGATGTTGTTTTTAAAGAAACCAATGCTATATGCCTTACACAAACAATACTTACTTGTCTATAGATTCTCTCATACCACTGAGTAATGCCCTTTGGAACCACCGGCATCTTGTTGCTAATATGACACAATGAGCAGGAATTTCATAGTGATCTGTATCCCTGTCAGATTCTGTTTTCTCTACAGGATCTCCATGTGTATGGTCTATCACAGTGTCACCAGTATCTGAATAATTTACGATGGTTCAGACTCAAATAAGAAGGTTGAAAATTTTCAAAATAATCAGCAAAACTAACGGACGTTTGGTATTTGCTACAAGTCTATATGCAACATGCTTTAAAGACTTCCCTAATAGCAAATATTTTTGACAGTAAAAAAACAATGATATGTATGAAATATCTGAAATAATACATTTGCTATTATTCAATGGAAAAGCAACATTTTACTCAAAAAGATAGCAATATACCGGAAATCTCCTGTACTTACCATGTATAATAATGATTTCAAATACCATGTCTGTTTTCTCTTTTCTTTTAAACAAATCTAAGGCCCTCTTGGCAGTTAAACTCTCTCTAGCATTAGGTGATATGCATAAAGATTCTACAGAACTTAACTGAAAATATACAAAGGATTTATAGAACTTGAAAACAAATTGAAATAATCAATGTATCATAAGACAGGAGGGAGATGTCCGACAGATCCGAAAAGTGCTTACACATTACTCATTACTGTTAATTTGCTGACCAAATATGAAGTCATTCTGTACAGTAGTACCTGAGAAAAGTGTGATGGAAAAAATAGTTGGACAAACAGACCAATAGTCAGACAGAAAAGTTGAATGCAATATAACCCAAACTCATATATATCTAAAGTATCAATGAATGAACTTACAAGTGTTCATCAATATTCATCACTGATTAATTCATTGCACCAAAATGTCCTACAGCAAATATCACATGCAAACTAACTAAAATATCATGTTGTCATATAAATATACCATAAAAAGAGACTATCAACATGACCTATAACTCCAAATTTTCTACATGATTATAAATCACAGGTTGGATTTTAAGTTGAGGATTTACAACCTTCTTCATATAAGTTCAGCTCACTACCATGAGACCACCAAAGGCAGTTTACACTACATTTACCATCTTAGACAACATCAGCCTGCTGTGATGATCCCACATCAAACTATACAAATTGTGTACAAGTGCCTTGTGGCCAGAACTTTTATTTATAAATTCATAACTGATAATTGTCATGTTCATATGGTAAGAGTACCTTTTGAAATTTCATTGCCAAAATTGTTCTATTTTAAAATTTTAATTGTGATACTATAATAACATTAACAGTACCAATTTTTATGCACCAGATGCGCATTTCAGTAATTAATGTCTCTTCAGCAAAGGTCGTGACAGAAATATATGAAAATCCAAAACCTAATAAAATCGTTGGAAAAGCTGATCCAAACAAAAAGGACTTAAAATATAGTCAATTCAGGACAAGGAATCAGAACCTTGCATGAGGGAGATATATTCCTTAATTTAAAATGATTTCAAACATTTTATAACAGGGGAATAGCAGCAAATTTCAATCAATGATATCCGTATAAATAATTAATTATATGAGTATGAGTTGGTGTTTTAAAAGTCACCTATAATCATATCTACTGGTATGTCATTAATTACTCTCACAATTTTTTTATTATTCATGAGTTCTCAAGTTTTTATCTAGCAGGAGCTGTTTTCATTAACAAATTGTTTGTAAGTCATGTGTCATATGATAACATTTTTTGTGAAATAAGCCTAAGTATCATATGATTATCTGTAAGATCAATGTTAAATCATCAACTTACTTTGGCATATTTGGTAGATTTTTTGTTTTCCTCTTTGGTTGAGCTATCTGTTTTGGTTTCTGATGTTAGTCCTAGCATGGATAATGAGTTAGTAAACTCTTCTTTGTTTACTATCTCCACTAATTCATTGATTGCTGGTTGTAAAGTGTGTCTATAACTGCATAGTTTACTCACTGTCCAGGCCTAGAGAATAAATCATATTTATATTGCATTTTAATTTAAATAGATTGATTGATTGGTGTTTAACGCCACTTTTACCACTGTTGGCTATTTCTTGGCGGTCAGTTTTTATTGGTGGAGGAAGCCAGAGTGCCACAAGAGAACCACTAGCTTCAGCAGGCAAACATACAATCCCAGTCAATTAAGACTGGAGTCAAGCACACCTGCCACATGCAGGGTTTGAATTCACAACCTCAGTATTGACAGGTTAGTGATACAGTAGTTGGACTACTTAGACCACTCGGCTACCACATTTTCATTTAAAGCATTTGATGCACTATATCGATTTTGTTGTGATGATTTAAATGTTTTTGTGCCTTTTCGCCATTAAATGGAATCTCTGATTATTCTAAAAAATAAAGTTTTATTGACAATAATCTAGGGACAAAAAACCAAGTGCCTATAGCCTAGCCATAACTTTTACCTTAAATTCATAATTCACTCAATACATCTAGTTTGAAAAATTGTCATAGATAAAAGAACTTCATAGAGAATTGAGTCTATTACACTATTAAGTATGACCTACCATCTTAGATGATGTCAGTTTAAGTATGACCTACCATCTTAGATGATGTCAGTTTAAGTATGACCTACCATCTTAGATGATGTCAGTTTACGTATGACCTACCATCTTAGATGATGTCAGTTTAAGTATGACCTACCATCTTAGATGATGTCACTGTAAGTATGACCTACCATCTTAGATAATGTCAGTTTAAGTATGACCTACCATCTTAGATGATGTCAGTTTAAGTATGACCTACCATCTTAGATGATGTCAGTTTAAGTATGACCTACCATCTTAGATGATGTCAGTTTAAGTATGACCTACCATCTTAGATGATGTCAGTTTAAGTATGACCTACCATCTTAGATGATGTCAGTTTAAGTATGACCTACCATCTTAGATGATGTCAGTTTTATGTATGACCTACCATCTTAGATGATGTCAGTTTAAGGTTGACCTACCATCTTAGATGATGTTAGTTTAAGGTTGACCTACCATCTTAGATGATGTTAGTTTAAGTATGACCTACCATCTTAGATGATGTCAGTTTTAAGTATGACCTACCATCTTAGATGATGTCAGTTTAAGTATGACCTACCATCTTAGATGATGTCAGTTTAAGTATGACCTACCATCTTAGATGATGTCAGTTTAAGTATGACCTACCATCTTAGATGATGTCAGTTTTATGTATGACCTACCATCTTAGATTATGTCAGTTTAAGTATGACCTACCATCTTAGATGATGTCAGTTTAAGTATGACCTACCATCTTAGATGGTGTTAGTTTAAGGTTGACCTACCATCTTAGATGATGTTAGTTTAAGGTTGACCTACCATCTTAGATGATGTTAGTTTAAGGTTGACCTACCATCTTAGATGATGTCAGTTTAAGTATGACCTACCATCTTAGATGATGTCAGTTTTATGTATGACCTACCATCTTAGATGATGTCAGTTTTATGTATGACCTACCATCTTAGATGATGTCAGTTTAAGTATGACCTACCATCTTAGATGATGTCAGTTTTATGTATGACCTACCATCTTAGATGATGTCAGTTTTATGTATGACCTACCATCTTAGATGATGTCAGTTTAAGTATGACCTACCATCTTAGATGATGTCAGTTTAAGTATCACCTACCATCTTAGATGATGTTAGTTTAAATAAATATTTCCATTCTTTCCATTTCCATTTTTCCTCAATCATAAAGGCAAACTGTTCCACTCGCTGTATTATCAATGGAGCCTGAAAGATACAAAGAAGAAAACTCAATTAAATGTATCACTGATTCATGTTTATAATCATTTAAATGATGTTTGCATACACTTCCCTTAAAATGTGTTGTGAAATGTATTTATTTACGCGTTTCACAATTTATGATTGACCTTAAGATTTCCTTTGACTGAGCTTTTGAAAATGAGCCTTAACTATCTGTGAGAAAAGTAGTTTTTTTTCCAGATAGCTTTGAAAAGATATCAACATTTTTGTTTCCTTAATGAATTCATGTCATAGAGGCTGAAATATTGCATTTTATATTCATAGAAATATCTAACTGGATAAGACTATCCAATGTAAATCGAACTCAATAAAATAATATTCCCTGGATTCAAAAGAGAGGTACTGTGCATTACATCTCACAATTGTAAACCTTTGCTTGCGTTTGAATCAATCCAAACAGGAATTATATAAATCTGAAATTTCATCACATAGTAAAGATTGCAAAGATGGTGCTTGAAAATAAAAATCTTCTGTACTTCATGGGCAAATGTGAAGCTTAAGTGTGATGGACATCACAATAAAAGTGCAATACATGCCTTTGTCAAACAGAAATTACATGCTGGACATATTATAAAATGTATCATAATATATACCTAGCCCAGAAAGAAATTTAAAGTTCTCATTGATGGTTGATAAAATCAAAGTGCTTATCAGTACTGAAGGGTAAAAATTACTTTTTGTTAAAATTAAAGATTGAATTGTATATAGAAAAGGAACACATCTAAGCAATATCTTGAACTGGAGTTATTTTCCTTTGTTCATAATTGTAGTTGAACCTATTTTTTGGAACAGATAGATTCTTAAACCATGCACAACCTAAATATTTTTAATGAAATAGTTTTCTTTACAAGCTTGATTTTACAATGACACGTCATTTTGTAACTTGAATATCTAAGTATATATTATCAATAAATTACATGACATTGGCTCGACAGTATCTAAAGAAAGTTTACCTCACTGCACTATATTGTTCCAACACTAGGACAAACAGTACATAAAGTTTAATAAAATGAAGAATCCTACCTCTCTGTCTTTGAGTGTCTGTAAGAATGATGAGATTAAACTTTTCCTTTCATGGACTGACTTTCTATTGAAACGACCTCTGAAAAAGTATACATATAAAAATATACAAAGATAATATGTAAAAGAAAGGTTTAAATTATGTTTGATTTCTATTAACTTTTGTTTTTGAGTGATAGAATGCAGTTAGTCATATAAAGATCAAATTCATGGCAAAGAATGCTTAACCGTTCGTGCCAGTGATATATCAAAAAGTGACAGCATTGGACCATTTGCATGAAAATGAACATATTATAAAGCAACATTTGCAGATGATTTACAAAAAAAGGTCAAATGCAAGTAACAGAATGAATGAAAACATCTATTTGATACCAAAAAGTTGAATGTCTAGCCATTTTCAGAGACATGTTGGATTAGATCCATCATTACTAAATTCATGCCGAATAAAAATTGTACCTGAAAATATTTCACCATTTGAACAGCTATCCATTATAGAATTAAAGATGTCCTGCGTATTACTAAATTTCATTAATAATTTTTACTTTCAACTATTATGAAATGTCATTTGAGATAAAATATTACAAGGTATTATACTATAATGTAAATTTATTAAATAAAACATAAGTAAAACAGCTAACTTTATTTTACTTACGCCTTATCAAGAAAGAATTCAAACTTCCCAGAAGCTGTGTCGTGGATATATTTTAATTTCTTTAACTCTCGTATATGTAAAGCCTGAAATCAAAAAGACATATTTAATAACATAAACAGTTTTCACAAACAAAGGAATATTTACACAAGTCCATTCCATTCTGTTTTTTCTCTTTCTCTTTTTTCTGTATTCTTATAATTGGGTAAATTATTTTTTTAATCTATATCCATGTATTGTATACGTATGTTCTCAAGTATATAAGTGTTGCAACAAGACTTCGTAGGTACAATGTTATTGTGGTCAGTCATGATGTTATCGATGCCAGCCATGATGTTATTGATGTCAGTCATGATGTTATCGATGTCAGCCATGATGTTATCGATGTCAGTCATGATGTTATCGATGTCAGTCATGATGTTATCGATGTCAGCCATGATGTTATCGATGTCAGTCATGATGTTATCAATGTCAGTCATGATGTTATCAATGTCGGTCATGATATTATTGATGTCAGTCATGGCTGCAGAGGCTTAAGCAAACCCCAAAATCTTTATTATGTAACGTCACATGAAAAATGTTTGTTTTAAGAATATAATAAAGTGTATATTATATGGCTATTTCAATATGGAGAGATTCATTTGGTATCTCAGGTTGATAAGAGTTTGATATTGAAAAAGCTGAATAATATTTTCTATGTATAAATTTATTTTGCACTCCTTTAGTTTTTCTTTAGAACAGTCATTAACAAAATTATTGTCATTTTACAATCTACAATAAATTATATTTAGATAAAATAAATGGGGAATGTGTCCATGGGACACAGATGATGCCCCCACTTGCATATAATGTTATAAAGGGATATAACTCAAGAACTGTACAAGTGACGCTACCCAAATTTGTACTTGATCTGAGTTTTGTGGTAATAAGCATTGTGTATACGTTTTATAACATTTGGTTGAGGCAAACTAAAGTAAGAGAACGAAAACGAAAAATTCAGCAATTTTTCCATTAGTAGAGGGGCATAACTCTAGAACAGCAAAAGTGAAGCCACCAAAATTGGAACTTGATCTGTGTTTTGTGGTAATATCATTGTGTATAAGTTTCATAACATTTGGTTGAGGCAAACTAAAGTTAAAGAACGGAAACGAAAAATTCAGCAATTTTTCCATTTATAAAGGGGCATAACTCTAGAACGGTAAAAGTGACGCCACCAAAATTCAAACTTGATCTGTGTTTTGTGGTAAAAAGCATGGTATATAAGTTTCATAACATTTGGTTGAGGCAAACTAAAGTTAGAGAACGGAAACAAAAAAATTTAGCAATTTTTTCATTTGTAAAGGGGCATAACTCTAGAACGGTTAAAGAACGGTAAAAGTGACGCCACCAAAATTCAAATTTGATCTATGTTTTGTGGTAATAAGCATTGTGTATAAGTTTCATAACATTTGGTTGAGGCAAACTGTAGTTAGAGAATGGAAACAAAAAATTTAGCAATTTTTCCATTTGTAAAGGGGCATAACTCTAGAACAGTTAAAGAATGGTAAAAGTGACGCCACCAAAATTCAAACTTGATCGTTGTTTTGTGGTAATAAGCATTGTGTATAAGTTTCATAATATTTGGTTGAGGCAAACTGAAGTTAGAGAACGGAAACAAAAAATTTAGCAATTTATCCATTTGTAAAGGGGCATAACTCTAGAACGGTTAAAGTGATGCCACCAAAATTCAAAGTTGATCTGTGTTTTGTGGTAATAAGCATTGTGTATAAGTTTCATAATATTTGGTTGAGGCAAACTAAAGTTAGAGAACGGAAACCAATTTTGGGACGTACGTATGGACGTACAGACGGACAAGGGTAAAACTTAATGCCCCCTCAGCTACCGCAGGGGCATAAAAACCTACATGTTTTAATGTTTTTCCTAAGACATCTTTTACATCTTTTTTATGTTTCTCTGTCTTCTCTGCTTTTTCTTTATCTGAGATGTTTTTAGATATTGCAGTGTCTAGAGCTGATTTGAAATCTTCCACAAACTTGGTTAACGTTGACAAGGACACCTCTAACTGTAAAATATGTATACAATATATCACATAAAACCCATACTTCTTTTGACAGAACAGATTAAATTTCTTTATATGTATACAATATATCACATAAAACTCATACTTCTATTGACAGAACAGATTATATTTCTTTGTATCTATACAATATATCACATAAAACTCATACTTCTTTTGACAGAACAGATTAAATTTCTTTGTATGTATACAATATATCACATAAAACCCATACTTCTATTGACAGAACAGATTAAATTTCTTTGTATGTATACAATATATCACATAAAACTCATACTTCTATTGACAGAACAGATTAAATTTCTTTGTATGTATACAATATATCACATAAAACTCATACTTCTTTTGACAGAACAGATTAAATTTCTTTTATGTATACAATATATCCCATAAAACTCATACTTATATTGACAGAACAGATTAAATTTCTTTGTATGTATACAATATATAGCATAAAACCCATACTTCTATTGACAGAACAGATTCAATTTCTTTGTGTTAATATAACCTAAGTCCAACACTATTTCAAAACTAATTTTTTTCTATGCAGACTTCTGAGAACTTACCTCTGGTAAAAAATATGTGGCTATTTCGTCATCTTGTTCTGGTTCTTTGTAAGATAGCTGTGTCTTAAAGGCATCAAAAAATTCATGAAGTTGCTTTATAAAAATATGGAATCTAAAGAGAAAAAAATCAAATTCAAAACAGTATTAATAATAGAGTATAATAGTATATAATAATTTGACATGTTTACAATATACAGGATTTCTTATAAATGACTAGCATTATTGATTGTTGGACATCATTGTTTAGTGTTATGCAATAATCTTCATCACCTACAAATTACAATTGTTTGCTATATATTTTATATAATAACATATTCCTTTTTAAATATTTCGAGGGCATTTATGGTTTGAATTTAACAAACCATGTGTTGAAAGACACAAAAATTACCTGAAAGTATATCTGTTTATTTTGTCATATTTTTCTTGTCATTAAATACAACAGCTATGACTGCACGTGCTATCCGTGACAATGATAAAAAAGTGCATTGAAAAACAAGCAAAATCTTGATATAACTCTTAATTTCATGGTTGTAGCATAAACATGTAATCATAAGAATTGGATGCTTCTTTTTATAATTCAATAGGGTTGTAAAAGCATTGACTGTGCACAGATTCATACAAAATGTGTTTCAGTCAACACTTTTACACCCCAATAAAATTATAAAAAGAAACATTAAATCAACACAAATACATATACATTCATGTATGCATAGATAGCATATAACTTTGCCTTTTCCTTACCTGGTTTTAGTGTATTTAATAATATCATGTCTTTCTTCTCTGGGTAGCTCACCACTCCTTCTAGCGAACAAATCACACAAAATCATGTACTTTGAAAAAGCTAAAAATATAAACAAGAAATAGTTATTTTTCTACATACTACTTTTACTGAATTTATCATATACTTAGTAAAACCAAGTCAATTTTATGAGTAATACATTCAATGGCAATCGCTCTGTATCAGTTATCTGTGATGATATGATGATATTGATATCAGTCATGCTTAAACAAATTTCATCAAACAATATCCAAAAAACTTAAGTTTTAAGTATATAATATCAGCTTTGTATACATGTACAGTTTTACATCTTTTACCAAAAAAAAAAAATACTTTCAGAGTAACTCGATTTCCCTTGGAAACGAAATCACAAAGTCTTGTAACTTAACTTTTTAACCTTTTTAAAATGGTGTTCAACAGAGGATCTTTTTTCCAAATAGCACACATACACAAAGGCATAACTTTTATTCTGAAATTTCTTATATATTAGCCTTTACAGTACCATGTCACTATCTGTGATAAGAAGTTATAGTGATTTAATGTTTTTTTAGTGTTTTTGGATTGCTGTCACATTGACATATACTCACAATCTGTTATCTATGGACTTACCTATTGCCCCCTCTCTCAATGCTTGTTTCATTACATAGCACAACTTAGCAGGATTATGGGACAGAACATCATCAGGTACCATTGTGTTTCCTCGTTGTCGACATTTAAATAAATCTATAATTCTGTCAGCACATGCATGCATGTCCCCTATCAGACTGACGATTTCTATAAATATAAAACACGAAATACAAAATTATATTATAATTACCTAAATATTTGTTTGAAATGGTTTTTTTTTACTCATTGTTTAGACTTGAAGATTAATATATTGGAACATCACTCACTGGGTATAAAATGGATGTACATGCTTTTAAATAGAATAACATTTAACATTACTTTCAGAATCCAAATGGTTAGAAAATTGTGTACCTCTCAACAAACAAACTTTAGATTTCACTATTGGTGATAGTTAAAATAAACTTCTCATAATTTGGAAACATTTCTGAATTGATTCTGATTACAAACGGTTACAACATTTCCAAGTTCAAAAAAAGACTCATAACATTTGATTTCTCTTGCATAAACCCCTAATATATCTTTTCACACAAGAAAAAAAAACTCTTTAAAATTTACTAATTATTAGAAATTCTTTATAAATTTAATCTTTCTCAATGATTTTATCAAATAACAATTTAGAAACACTGAAATTTCTGTCCTCTTGAGCTCCTTGTGAATGTCTCCTTTTATATTGTCCCCAATATATCTTTTCCCTCAATTTTTATATCATCTTCATTTGGCAAATGTTTTCAATTTATCAATTAACCTACGTTGTTTAAGAGCAGTATTCTTCAAGAAATTTTGACAGATCTGTGTAAAATTTTCCAGTCCTGGTAATTTGCCCACCACTTTAATACAATCTCTAGCAGTTTCTTCTGATAATCCTTTAGGAAGACATTCTGTATACAGATAATGTAAAACTGTCTCTAAAATATCTTCTCTTAACCCACTCAGTGGTGGTGGTGAACTTGTCCATGCTAGGCCAGGAGCAGTCATGCTCAAAACTACTGAGTGAACTTTGAACTGTGAATAAAACAAAGAAAAATGGGAGGTCAGATTTATAATTGGAACAGTCAATAATAAATAATCCTAACAAAGAAAAACTGATTAATCTGTTTAAAACTGATGATTTTTGTATTTTAAAAAATCTGGCAATATATATTATGAAAGCTAAAGTATTTCGAGATGAAGTTTTGACATTTTGAATGTATAGTAAAATATAAGTGGAAATGAACACTACTGATGACTGATTTATAAATATGATGATATGTGAATATGTAATGTGATTATTGTTTATTGTGTAATATGTAACTGTAGATGGCAAAATTATAAATTGTGTAATTTAATATTTGTACCGTGGGCTGGAGGCCTTTTTTGTACAATAAACTTGATTTGATTTGATTTGATTTGGAACAGTCAAGATGTAAGAAAGGGAAATCATGCATGGGAAATTCAACAAAACAATAAAAAGTGATTGTAAATTGAGATTTTTATGACATATGAATAATTTTTGGCTGTTCATAGAAAAAGGAGAGGTTAATTTGTCAATACATGTACCATGTTTAACTTTTAGACATTAAGATTTTTTCCAAAGTACTGTTCGGTACATGTAACAAGTAAATGTGCAAATAATTTTATAATTTGTTATAGGAATCTGTCACAAACAAAATGCTATAATATACCACAGACAACATTTACAATAAAGTAGAATAAAATGCTCCGAGGCACAGATTGATCAGAAATGTATTGTTTTGGGCCCCTTTATCCTAAACGGTTAGAGCCATAACCCCCCAAAATCAATCCCAACCTTTCTTTTTTGGTATGGAACCTTGTGGTACAATTTCATATGGATCCATAGACTTATACTCAAGTTATTGTCCGGAAACAAGAAAAATGCTTGTTTTTGGCCCCTCTTTGGCCCCTAATTCCTAAACATTTAGGACAATAACCCCCAAAATCAATCCCAACCTTTCTTAAGTGGTGTGGAACCTTGAGGTACAATTTCATAGAGATCCATACACTTATTCTCAAGTTATTGTCTGGAAACCAAATGTCTTCGGACAACAATGACGATGACAACGCTGACAACATCATAACATTATATGACTGCAAAAATTTTGCGGTCATATAAAAATAACATTAATAAACTTTGACACAGAGATATATCTTTATTCAATGTAATTTTTATAGTTTAGTGCAAATTTTGAAATTAAAATAGCAATACTTTAACAGGGAAACTTTGCAAAACTTTCAAAATCAATGATTAAACCATGATTGTGTGTGCAGGGCCAAATTTCTCAATACATGTCACAGGAAAAATGAAATGCAAGTGCTAATACAACAGCTTACCAAATATTATTGAAGTGGTTTCCTATTAAACTGACAGAAACACAAACTTTAAGTAAACTCTGCAAAAGTTTCAAAGTCAAAGAACCATGACTCAGGGAGTGGGTGCCATATAATTGCTACAGAAATAGGATGTACTATTAGTAATAGTACTGCATATCAAATATCATTGACTTACTGTACATAAGTGGTTCTCTTAATCTGACCTAATCAAAAACTTCAACAAGTAAACTACCGTAGAAAGGCTTGTATAGTTCGCAGTGGTACATAGTCCGCACCCCCTTCTCCCAACGAAATTTTAGGTAAAAAAACTTTTTGTAACTGTTAGAAAAGGTCTAATGAAACTCCGGTAATTTCAAATCCTGTGCGGTCGTTTGCGGTATTTTCTTGGAAAAACCTGTTTTTCCATCATCAAACAGAAGCTGAAACTGCTTGTAAATGATTCTAGAACGCTTCATGATTGTTAAAATAAGTTTAATTCACTTAAAAAACAATTTAGAAACTTGTGTATGTTTAAACAGGAAGTTTAAAAAGCACGTGTAAAAGAAGAAATTAACCGGTGAGAGTCGAAATCCGTACATAACAGATATCACTATAATACGACTTTGAAAGTAAAACAGTTCCATCCTTTTGTAAAACAGTCTTTAATATATCTATCACATTAATGTTTGAAGGGTCTTAAGCTAATACAAACCATATTAGTCAGTATGAAACACCAAAACGGAACGAACAATAACCGATTACGTTTTGTAGTTTACAAATTCTAAGCTGGTTTACGGTTGTCTTTTTCCCTATGTTTGTATCGTTTCAATCAAGCAGATACCAGTTTATTTCAACCAATGCATTGAAAAGAAACGAGAAATTTGTAATGAAAGGTTTAGTTTTTATATTTATCAGTATTAATTTGATATTGAATAGAAATAACTTATTAATATGGATGAGTTAAAATTATTAGTTTGAAAAATGATAAGAGCGCCCTCTACAATAGAAATAACAAAGATGGCGGAACGTAAACAAACCACCTTTACCGCGAAATTGAAATTTTTCTCTTATTTCTTGCTTATTGTACTCTATAGTCCGCACCCCGTCTGGAAGGTCCAATTTTGGAGAATAAAACCGCGGACTATACAAGCCTTTCTACGGTACAACAGAGTTGTATGAACCATTACAAAGGGGCAGGCAATATAATTGCTACAAAAATGAGATGTTCTTATTCTATACAACTGAATACCAAATATAATAAAAAGTGGTTCCCATAAAACTGACATAATAAAAAGTGGTTCCCATAAAACTGACATAATCACACGAACTGTAACATGTAATCTGCAAAATTTCAACATCGATAGACCTAGCTGCGGAACCGAAACTCTTATGGTCCTTTTTATATTTTTTTTTATTTTGCGGTCCGCAAATAGTCAAAAAATAACATAAGGACCTAAGAGCTACGGTTCCGCAGCTACGATAGACCATGCATGAATGAGAGGGTGAGACCATATAATCTCTACGGAAATGAGATGACTAACAGAACTGCATAACAATCATTATTGAATTATCATAATTGGTTCCCCTTAAACTGACCTAGTTACAAACTTTAACATGTATACAATACAAAAGTTTCAAAAGACCATGACTGAGGGGCTGGGAATTATAATCTCCATGGAAAAGAAAAGTGCTAATGCTAATACAACTACATACCAAATATCATGGACTTACAAATGGCCCCCCTTATAATGACTTGGGTCAAAAAAGCAACACTTTGACATAACCTTCTATCAAGTACTTGAAGGGATTACATACATCACAGTCTATGTCATATTTAAAATAAAGTTTGCTTCATAAAAATGTCATCTCACATATTATCTTAAACATCATTTCTTATTTTCTTCCTTCAATATATCTATTTTTTCATGTTATGGCAACAGTGTAATTAGAATTCTTTATAAAAAAAATCACATTTTTGAAGATTTCAATCTAAAATAATAAACCAGTCTTTTTCTGACACATAACAGTGAAATAATTTTTGGAAAGAACTCGTCTCCATATGCACTTACTATTTTCCCAGAATCAGCTTTTATTGCTATATCATGGAAATAGCCCTGTTCTAATGCTTCAGTATATGTATACTGTTCCAGTACTTCTGGGTCTTCTTCACATATCTAAATAGAGATTACTGCATTGGTTAATGTGAAAAAAACATGATTCTCACAAACTGCAGATGTTTTTTATAAGTGTACAAAATATTTAAAGAGGGGTTTCAATATTCCCTGTGTTTTACATGTAATGTTGATTAAATAAATCATGATGTTTTGTTTTTTTCATTTGAAAGTTTTGTTGTAAATAAAAGGTTTATTGCACAAATACTAGTAAGTTTTATCCCCTGTTGATATTTAGCAATGTCCCCACAATGACCCAAACTGTTAACCGTTACATGTGCTAGTATGTGCACATTTTCAACTACTAAAAACTTAATGCACACAATTTACTTCATACAGTTCTTTATACACGTATATATTCATATGGTCATTATTATGGTTATCTCGGTCTACTTTTCACTATTCAACCAGATTAAGTTACTGTAAGTTAACAGAACAGATTTATTTTTATTGAGATTAGAAATCAATCTTTAAGATCACTACAATTTCAATCAGACATATAGTTTCTTACTGTATGAAACTAAATATAATAAAATATACACATTTTAAAATGAGAGTTTTGCATGTTATATAATATAATATAATGTTATATAAGGTTGATATTTAATTTTCAAATTTAAGGGCTGTTTTTCAGTCATGTTGTATCAAAGGGCAAATTCTACATAATCTTGATTTTTAATGAATATAATAAGAGCAACCACAAGGTTTTGAACAGTTTAAGTGAATATCTACCTTCTGACATTGTAGCATACAACATCTTTCACATGTCAATAACATCAAATCATCTGATATCTCAGCCTGAAATACAATATGCTTTCAATAAATATAAACTGAAAGGTTAGTTGTACATGTACCGGTTTTCCTCAAACTAAAATACCTTGACAACTAATATATGATATGATATACTGCCTGTAGATCCCATGGGATATTGACAGTTTATAACTTATGACCCTTATAAAATCTATCGATTAATTGTTAGATGGAGAATCCCTTTTTTTACTTTTTATTTAGCCACACAATGATGAATATGCATGTTGTCATTTAGATTACTCAAATGTCCAATGATATAGCCTTCAGCATAAGAAATGACTGAAGAATATAAGGCACATTATAGTATATACTATATAGTATCTAAACATCAGGTCAGTAGCAGGTAAGATTCTAGGATCTGGTTGCTCATCATCTGGTTAAATATAACCCTAAAGGAAACATCTAAGACTGACCCTTTCCGAATAGGAGCAGATATAACCATAAATGAGAATGCTGACCCTTTTCGAGTAGGAGTAGATATAACTATAAATGAGAATGCTGACCCTTTTCGAGTAGGAGTAGATATAACTATAAATGAGAATGCTGACCCTTTTCGAGTAGGAGTAGATATAACTATAAATGAGAATGCTGACCCTTTTCGAGTAGGAGGAGATATAACTATAAATGAGAATGCTGACCCTTTTCGAGTAGGAGTAGATATAACCATAAATGAGAATGCTGACCCTTTTCGAGTAGGAGTAGATATAACCATAAATGAGAATGCTGACCCTTTTCGAGTAGTAGATATAACCATAAATGAGAATGCTGACCCTTTTCGAGTAGGAGTAGATATAACTATAAATGAGAATGCTGACCCTTTTCGAGTAGGAGTAGATATAACCATAAATGAGAATGCTGACCCTTTTCGAGTAGGAGTAGATATAACCATAAATGAGAATGCTGACCCTTTTCGAGTAGGAGTAGATATAACCATAAATGAGAATGCTGACCCTTTTCGAGTAGGAGTAGATATAACTATAAATGAGAATGCTGACCCTTTTCGAGTAGGAGTAGATATAACTATAAATGAGAATGATATATTCGACCCAGTTGGTACTATGAACAAGTACTTGAAGTATCGCTTAGAAATGGAAGCCTTACAAAGTTTTCCTTTATTTGTTGAAAGTGATTTTGACACAAGGCCATTATCGAGGGAAACTTTCATTAACTACTTAAGACAGCTTTTAATCCCTCTTGCTTATAGCGAAAGTAAGTTCTGTTGTTCAGAATTAGTGCCGCTACTTCAGCTGCAGCGGCTGGAGTTGAAGATCATATCATACAAACACTTGGTCGATGGTCCTCTGACTGTTATATCAGATATATTAGAACTGATAAGAGGGTTATTTGTAAAGCACAGAAGAAAATGTGTCTTTTCTAAAATTCTATTATATTTTGCATGTAACCAATATATTTTATTTTTATTTTTGTATTTGGTAGCATTAATATTATTTCTTATGAACTCATTCAATTTGGCCTTTATAATTTCGTGGGAATCATTCTCCCCCAATTCAATAATACATCACATAGGTTAATTCCTGAAGGGATCTCCCCAGGAACAATTATGTATTTTAATGTATTATTTTTACTCCGCTGGGATCTCCCCGGAGCCTGAGACGTAGGCCTGCTGGGATCTCCCCAGGCCGTTTATTCTCTTAAGTCTATATAGCTTTACACCTGCTGGTATCGCCCCAGGTGAACATTTCATACAGTATAAAGTTAGCTACAGGGATCTCCCCAGGTTGTTTATTCTCTTAAGTCTATATAGCTTTATACCTGCCGGTATCTCCCCAGGTGAACATTTCATACAGTATAAAGTTAGCTACAGGGATCTCCCCAGCATTGTAAGGTTATTTATGTATAACTTTTTTGTATAAGTAATCACAGAGTTTTTACTAATTGTTTAAGGAATTTTCATTTTACTCATATTTTGATAGTTTTAAAAATTCATAAAGTCAAATTTCTTTTAAGTGAATGAGTTGCCCCCAAGAAAGCCAATAATGTATTATATTTTCAGTCATCCATTGTAGAAAGATATGTACAGTTATGTTACATTTTATTTTTAATATTATGCTTAGATTTAGTATGTTTAATATTTTAATAATAAAAGTATTTCTTAAATTGTGTTGTGTATAAAGTTAAATATAACCCAGGGTTAAATTAGTGAACAATTGGTTACGTAACCAAGGGTTAAAATTTTGTTGCTCAACTTCTTTTTAACCCTTGGTTACATAACCAATAGTTAAGTTTGCATTGACTGTAGATTTTTTTGAAATAGAGAATTATCAGCACTTTCCTCTGGTCCTAGAAAATGATATGGTCAATAAATGTGATTACATATCAAAAACAAAACACTTTTCAGCAACTAAGTTCGTTATTTAGCAAAACTCCAATGCTGACTTGACAGAACGCACCTTTTGTCTGAAAACTTTGGAAGCTTTGATCGCCCTTGTTATAGATAAAAATGTTTTCTTACTTAAACAAGATTAATTTTGCTGCATAATTTAATTCATTGACTTAGAAGGTAACAAAATAAAAAAAAAGACGTTGATATGATTATGTCAAGAAGATACAGATTTGCTCCTAAATATTTCCATGCAAAATGGGGAACGAATGTAAACACTTGTATATTGCTATGCTAACAGCAGCAAAAAGAAGAATAGGCTGTATCAAATGTTAAATGTCATCTTCTATCTTATTTGCACCCTTGATTAAGATGGAATCATACTTTATGGCAAAAAATTTCCTTGGTTAAAATTTTAATCGATGTCCGGAGTAAGGTTTAATCTAAATCATTTAACCATTGATTTAACAACAGGTTAAATTCAACCAAATGATGAACATCAGACAATGAACGAAGGTTATATTTTAACCATGAGTTTACAATATTTAACCCCAAGTTTAAATTTAAACAAGAGATGAACAACCAGGTCCTGGGGTGAGTTGTCAAAGATGCAATTGTAAGTGACTTGCTTCCTTAAAGAGGAAAAATCTTCTAAGTAAATTTGTCACATTTATATAGCTCCTCATTCTTTACAAAACAAAAAATTCAGAAACGTCAACTGCTTCTCCCTTCTCCTTTTTTAATACCTGGACCTGCCACTGAGAAGTTTTACATAGTCATACAAAAGGTCATAAATAAACATTTTTTTGTTTACATCAAACTTCAATAGACTTCTTTTCCATCCCCTTCCAGCTAGTTAGACTTAATATGGTTATAATTGTGCTTAAAAGATTTCTATCTTGTTTCATAAAAATACACTCAAATTTTAAAATAATAAACACTTACTTTAAATTCAATGACATGTTCTCTAAAAGTTCCAAAAAACTTAAGTAACGCAGATCCATGTCTTCCAGCTGTGAACTAAAATGAATAGCAGATAGTAAATATACATGTATATTGATGCAATGCAGAATGTGCTATTACTCGACAGTATAGAATTTTATAGTACAAGATATGTTTGATATTGCATTTTCAACAAATTGACTACCAGTATGCAGGCCTTCCAAAACGGTTGTAGTGTCCAGACTTGTCCGACAAGTTATATTTTTTACTTGTTGTGCCAAGCCTGAACAGGACATATAAAGTGGGTTTGCCATTTCAACATAATTCAGAAAAAAGTTGAAGTTTATGCGATCTTTTTGACCTGACCTTTTGTCTTAAACAGCCACACATTTCTGGTCGTAAAAGTGACGTGATATTTAAAGATATTTTCTTTAATTTTAGCAGTTAGCATCTAATAAATAATTTGTCAAACAGATTTAGATTATCAGAAATACCTATATAAATATAATTTGTGGAAAAATTTTAAAAGCTAATAATAAAGGAATAAGCGAAAAATTGTCAGAATCACATTGTTTGAACTAGTACATGTGTGCGCATGTGTGCAGGTGTGAGATTAAATTATGCATCAAAAATGCTAAAATTATCATTGGTACTCTTATCTAACATTCACTTTGAGTATTTCCTTAATAATAATAAGAAATAATGTGAAAACTTGAACTCTTTTTCTTGTCTTAAAGGCAGAAGTATACTTAACCTCGTAAGAATCAGAACTAAAAAATGGTGCAGAATCTGTTTCATCTACAAGTTTCCATGACACATCTCCACTGTCATCCAAGTGGAATTCTGATCTAATAAGTAAAACAATTTAGAGATTAGACTTATGCTAACAGATGGTGTTGTTTACTTTTTAGGGACAAATTAGTTTGATTATAGATGAAAATGCTGACTTATTTGTGTCAGAATTTCATGATCAGTTTTCAGAAATGACATAAACTTAGAAACAATCTGATCAATGACAAACAATGAAAGTTTTGTACTTCAACTGACCCTAGCTGTAGATAGAAGGGTTAGGACAAGAATTGTGAGTTATAAACAGCATAAATAGTTGTTTAGTGCATATATGTAATTTTGACAGTATGCAAATTTTTAAATTAAAATGAAAACAACAAAAAAATGCATCTAAACTATGCAAAGCATGTTATACATAATTTAAAATATAATGGTATAATTTCAGAGAGATCCATACACCGTTCCACAAGTTATTGTCTGAAAACTAGAAAAATGCTTATTTGGGCCCCTAATTCCTAAACTGTAAGGACCATAACCCCCAAAATCAATCCCAATCTTCCTTTTGTGGTTATAAACCTTGTGTTTAAATTTCATAGATTTCTATTTAATTATACTAAAGTTATTGTCTGGAAACCAACTATCTTCTGACGACGACAACAACGATGTGATACCAATATACGACCGTGATGGTCTATAAAAATTAAAGTTAATAGACCATGACTATTTTAAAGGGGGCAGGCCAAATATTCTCCATGAAAATGAGATGTGTCAATGCTCATACAACTGCATACCAAATATCATTGACTTACCATTAGTGGTTCAGTATTTCAGTTACGTTGTATCAGGTAAGTCAGTATTTTCTGTCTTGGAATAATTGAGTAATCAATACATAAAGTTGCATCACTTGTTCGTGACAAGCTGTATATTGACGGAGTCCTCTATAAACCAAATGATCAAAGAAGGGAGTTCCGAGCAGCGGCTATCACTAACAATAATACCCAGCGGAGTACCTCTCCCGATACTCCAAATAGACCGCTGATTCCAAACAGAAAAGTTCAACCAGTTACAAGTCCACCTGTTCCACCTAGACCATTTAAGAGGTCAAGAGTTGATTCTGATAAAGAAACTCTCAACACTCATATGTAGGACAAATCAACAAGAGGTGAACTAAAGTTTTCCTTCATCAATGTTTGTGGAATTAAATCAAAATCCTTAGCTCCGGAATTCTCAGAACTTATTCTGCAAAATGACGTTTCTATTTTTGTTGAAACTAAAACTGATAACCATGATATTTTGACGCTTCCACAAGGATATAATTATTTTTGTAAACATAGGACTAAGTTCAAAAGAAAATCTGGGGGTATAATAGTAGTATATCAGTCAAATCTTGAACAGTATTTAAAATTTAACAAAACTGGCATTGAATTTGTGCAGTGGTTGAATCTTTCAAATGACCTATTTAAATAACTGATGAAATTTTAATTGGATGTGTATACATTCCTCCCGATGGTTCAAAATACTCATAGATAGATGCTTTTAATGAAATTGAAACAGGGTACCTACAGTTATAAGAACACAATAGGAAATGTGTTCTAATAGGCGATTTTAATGCAAAGACATCAACCTTGTAAGATTTTATTTCTCCAGAACGATTTGTCCTAGACATGTTTCATCTTAATGATGAGGACACACTGAAATATTTTTATAATTATGATACTGTTATTGCTAATGGAATTTCACAAGAGAGAAAATCTGAATGCATGTGTCGAGTAAACCTTTATGGTCATAGACTTCTTGACATGTGTAAGAAAATGAATTTATTTATAGCTAACTCTAGAATAGGTAATGACAAAAATGTAGGTAGAAGAAGATGCAATGACGCTAGTGTGGTAGACTATCTTATTGTGTCGTCATATTTATTTCCATTAATCAACTCATTTGAAGTAGATGAATTTAATCCAATTCTCTCGGATGAACACAGTAAAATAGGTTTCAATATATACACGAAACAGATTATAAACAAACAAAATATTGAGCCGCCTCAAAGACAAACTGTCAAGTGGTGCAGCTCGAAGGGTGATAAATTTGTCGATTATGTTAAGGAAAATTGATCTGATCAGTTAAAAGAAATAGAAAACGCGCTTGATAATTTACTTATAGCTAAGAATGTTGACCAAGCAGATCTTGATAATGTTGCAAGTAATATTGTAAAATTTTTAACGATTCATCAAAGATTATTTATGGGACCAAACGAACAAATTTGTTTCATAAAAAACAAATTTGAGAGACTGTGGTTCACAGATACTTGTAAAAATAAAAGAAACTTATTTTACCAAGCAAAACAAAAATGCAAGATTTCAAAAAATTTAACAAATAAAAAAGCCATGAAAGAAGCTAGTATATCATTTTAAAAAGCAATGAACTGCTCATATCATACTTTTCACGAGAATATTGCAAATGACTTGAACGCAAGGTCAAAATCTGACCCAAAAAACTTATGGAAATATTTAAATAGTATTGGGGAAATCAAAGTAAAGCAATAAAAGTTCAGTAGGTATTGAACAATTTCTTTAATATTTTGAAAAATTAAATCAGTCTAATGAGGAGGGAGACTATCCAGATATTGATTTTAATAAAGTCCCACCAGAGAATATTGATCAAATTCTGCATTCTATTATTACAGTAGAAGAAATTTTAATGTTGATTAAAAATCTTAAAAATAACAAAGCGGCTGGGTACGATGGTATAGTCAATGAACACATAAAATCAACTGTTCCGCTTATGTTGCCTATTTATCACAAACTTTTTAATATTGTGCTAAACACTGGAAAGATTCCTTCAGTTTGGTCAAAAGGTGTGATTAAACCTTTTTTACAAGAATAAAGGGGACAAATGTGACCCTAATTCTTATAGACCCATTACACTAGTTTCGTGTCTTGGAAAAACCTGCACAGCTGTTTCAAATGGAAGATTAAGAGAATTATCTGATGAAATTGAATTAATATCAGAAGCCCAAATAGGTTTTAGGCAAGGGTATAGCACATATTTTTCTAGATCATGGACAGGACCTGATAATCGTAGATATAAGTCAATGATGTGCAGCAACATCACACGATCATGTCCATCAACACCAATTTTTCAATGAAATGCACATTCATACAACTGAACAACTATCACAATGTATTGTACATGTAAAAATAGTTTTACTTACAAAATGCACTTTTTCATTTTACTTCATATTTGACAACAAAAAGCTTATTGTAAAGTCAAATTGCAGATAAAAAGAATAATGGCATTTTAATTTTTTTATACTGACTTCATCAGCTTGACCTAGCCATGCTAGCAGACTTGCTTAATATTCTTGCTGATAAAGTCAGTATTAAAAACAAAAATATCATTATTCTATATGTCTTAGGTTAGTCAAATTAGTTAATAGCACTATATAATATCAGATGAATACAACTATATTTGAGACTTACTCTCAACTTGATATATAAAATCTCACTCACTACAGTTAAATACATATGACTAGCCAGCATAAGTGTCATGCCAGGCTAGCATTAGTGTCATAACAGCATAAGTTCTATACATTTTGTAACTTAAAATTCAGGAAATGTAATAAATAGTTTTTGGGTATTTTTTTCATTTTATTTTTGTCATCATTGTAAATTGGTACACAGGATTGGTAACTTGGAATTTAAATTAAATTGCAGGTATATCCCTCAACTCAAGATACTTTTAAGTATACAAACTGAATCATTGTTAAAAATAGGTATTCTGTAATTTCCCTCAAGTATCATACCCTTCAATGCCTGTTGTATCCACTGTTCCTGCCAATGAAACACATTCAACGATCTGAAATATAAATAGAAAAGATTGAGACTTATGTATTTTTTATTCTTATTCTTTAAACCAAAATTACAAGTACATTTCTTACCCTCCAAGTTCCAAAATATTTGTCGAACTGATCCGACACACCAAGAGTCGCCATGTTGATGTTTACAAACAGCTGTCTCTGGAGTTTTCGTATCTTACCGTCTTCGTTCATAATCTTCCGAAAGTAACGTACTTCCGTAAATAAAAGTACACTCGACCTTTTCTAAGTATAAGTTTAGTCTTTTATTTCTGTATTCTTTTAATTTTTAGGACATTTTTCTGAATCTTTAAAAACTATGCTTATTCTGTAAAATTCTCATTAAAATGATTTTACTATTATTTTTTTCTGTAATATTAGATGATTTCTTTATTCTGTACATTATTCATTTCTGTGATCAGTATTGTATTATCTAATTCTTTAATTTTCTACAGTTATTAAGGGGTTTCCCCTACGTGAGGAAAGACCTTATTGTTTTCTAATGTTTTTTCATCTTTTTCTTCCAACATTTTTATCATATGCCCTACCCCCGTTTCTATTGGAGTTATCAAGACCAAATTTGGACCATCGATAGACCTCATCACCAGATGACCTTGTGTAGGATTTCATCGTCCCCTTTAGAAGTTATCTCCCTTTTATGGATTTTTTTCTACATGTTTTTGTGTTTAAAATATCATACATGTGATGAACTGTGAAACTCAGATCAGGAGATTAGGAAATTTTGGTCAGGAGATTAGGACTCAGATCAGGAGGTTTTTAATCGACATGAATTTTGTCGTAAATGTAACCGTGTGCTGTAGAAATTGTCTTTTAAAGTGTTGTTTCTTCAACTAACCTTCCATCCGAATGTATTATGTTTATAGTACCCTTGTACTTATAAATTTTCCCTATCTTTATTCAACATGTTCTATCTAACATTCTTTTTTTTTAATATGCTCTTTACGTTTTTTTTCTCTATCTTGATCATCATTATTCTTTAGAACAATCTGTGCAATCAGAACATTTGTTCAACTATCTGCTCATAGATCTTTCATGCATGTTAAGATACATACTCAATTTGGAGTCAAGGGTCATAGTTATTACATAAATTTCAATTTAAGCCTTAAAAGGAAGTATAGAACCCTAAAATAATTTTCAAATTATTATTTTTTTATTTGTCCTTAGACATTTAAAATCATTTAATTACCATCCTTTTATAATTATTTGTTCAATTTATATTTTATCTATATTATTTTAAAAATTTACATTATCTAAAGGAAAGTAACTTAAAACAGTATATTCCAAGGGAAGTAACCCAAAATTCATTTCATTTATTTTTAAATACACAAAGTTTTTATTACACAACGGCAGTTAGCCTGAGGTAAAAATCGTTGATTACCAGTATGTTTGACACCCAAGCTGACAAGTGAAGCCATATTATTATGTATGTTAATTGATTTACAGGTAAAATATAACTTCAGGTAATGTCAGTTACACCAGATATGTTGTGCTGAAATTTTTCATTCATGAAATATTTCATACACAGGATTTTTTACTCTTCAACGGGAGGTCGGGAGGAGATCCCTGAAAACGGGATTATTGTACTCCCGTCGGGAGGTTCACATGTTTTTGAAGATATTGTAAACGGAGAGCATGCATTTCATTACATAATTGCTGTCTCCACCGGGACTCGAACCCGGGATTTCTATGTTACAAGGCAGCGCGTATACCGACTGAGCTGAAGAAGTACTTCCTTAGCTCAACCGCTTACGGCTGACTAAGTATCTACCACATTTACTAAGGGAAGCAATCCCGCCACACTTCCCCCACCTCATGATCAAGAGTCATCATACCATTATGACTCTCACAACACATACCCTAGCTAGAAATCCTCTCTAACCACCGTGGGTTTTTTAGTTGGGCGGCAATGTAACCGGAGAGCATGAATTTCATTACAAAATTGCTTGTCTCCACCTGGACTCGAACCCAGGACCTCTATGTTACAAAGCAACGCGTATACCGACTGAGATAAAGAAGTACTTCCTTAGCTCAACCGCTTACGGCTGACTAAGTATCTACCACAGTTACTAAGGGAAGCAATCCCCTCACAATATTATGACCTTATTTGGACAACATGTAGAACTCATCATGCTGTATTACCAGATGAGGCTGCGTAGGTTTTCATCATCCCATTTGAGAGTTATATCCCCTTGAAGCAATTTCTTTTATTTGTATTTTTCTCTAAAAAAAGTATTAGAGATAGAATCGATTTGACAATGGCAACATGTACAGGAACAGATGGCAATGTTAATTAACAAACAAATATCTTGTTATCAACCCTTATTTGAGTTATTTCCCTTGAAATAATATACACAATTTAAAAAAAAAGTATATTTTGAGAACCGGAAGTCGTGGAGACTTGCGACCTTCACCAATGTGACCTTTCATTTGCACCCACGGTCAAAGGTCATAGAGTGCAAAAAGTTTTTACGCTGAAATTTCAAGCTTACATATTAAGAAAACAATAAGAGATTGCTGCATACATACAGTGCATGAAATGTTCCTCTCGAAGAGCTCTACATTTTATACATAGGTTCAAAACTGTCCGACCATCCGTTCAAAAGTTACGACGAGATAATTTTTAAAAGTATAGTAGTTTGTGTATATCTTTGAAAAGATAACAGATATCAACCCACTTTAAATTTAAAAAATGATCAGTAATTCAAGACCTTCAATTGAAGGTCAAAGTGTACTATGACCTTGACCTTATGACATTTGAAAGGTCAATTGGTCCTGAGTTGAATGGTGGTAGTCCCATGTCTCTACGACTTCCGGTTCTCAAGTTTGGCATCATATATTTGATCATTCGTTGTGACCTTGATGAACTTTGGAATTATCCCATTTGTTTGTAACAGTGATGTACTTCAACTGCAGATCATTTTCCACTAAGCATGTTGACGTTTTAGAGATAATGCAGTTTGAAATTTTGTGAGCGGGGGCATGTATTTTTGAATCAACAACAGCTAGCCACCTGAAATTTTCAGAAATTGAAGAGTTTAACATGGTTATATGTTTGACTAAATACCAAAAACATTAAATGAAAAACAAACAAAAAAATAGCAATTTGAAATTTTCATGTTTTGGATTGACTTTGTAAGTTTCATAAATTGATATTGCATCATTTTTTGGACTTTGTCAAATGGTGTCATTTGGTATATCAAATTGAACGTCAAAATGAGCTCTACTCAAAAATAAATTTTTGACCCCCCCTTTCATCCGAGTAAGAAGGGTGGGGTCATTTAGTGAAACAAATAAAATTTCTAAGATCGTTAGTTTGTCGCATATCAAATGAAAGTCCATAAAGCGTACATTTCAAATATCAAATTTACGTCCCCAAAAAATGGGTTGGGTTGGGTCATTGCGTGCAAAAAAATAAATTGTCTTCTAACGTAAGGTTGTTGTATATCAAATGAAAGGTCATAATGTGTGCATTTCAAATATCAAGTTACGTTCCTCCAAAAATTAGTTGGATGGGGTTATTTAGTGCAAAAATCAATTTTTCTAGAAGATGGTGTTGTCGCATATCAAATGAAAGGTCATCAAATCTACATTACAAATATCATATTTCCGATCTCGAAAATTTAGGTGGATAGGGTCATCGCAGTGCAAAAAGTGAAAAGTTTAAGAAGGTATGCTCGTCGCATGTCAAATGAAAGGTCGTAAATACTAAAGAGTGCATTACAAATTTCAGACATTATGGGAAAGACCTTTCAATTGTTTTACAAACAATTGAGATACTAGTTCTTTATACTTTTGCACTCTATTATTCTCAATTACTTATTTTTTGCTAATTTGTTTTCTATTTATTATCCGTTTTACCATTATCAGTTTCTATTCTGTAAACTCATCCAGAAACTCCTTCATTTCTATATTCTTTAACTTTTTAGACCATTACTCTTTAATCTTTATTCCTTTTGATCATTATTTTCTATTCTTTATATTTCAATATCTCATTATTCTCTATTCCATAATTTTTTGCATATTCTTTTTTTCTTCCATTCTTTTTTTTTTTGCCCATTATTCTCTATTCTGTAAACCCCGTCCAAACCCTCGTAAAACAACTTTCATATATTGCAGCGAGTTAGCAAATTTTATAAATATCACTGAAAGTTATTATCCTTTACCATATCTTATTAATATGATATACAATTTAAAAAATAATTTGAAAAGTAGTGAACCGGCAAGTAATAATCACATATCCATACATAACAAGTGTTGATAGTGATTGCTGCATTTGTGCCTACTTTAGTTTTTATGTGTGAAATGGGTTCTGATAAGAAGCTCTTTCTGTATTATTATTGGTAGGTATGTACGTTGAACTATGTTCCATGTTGATGGACACCTTGTATATCCATACATATTGAACATTTCAAAAAGGGGGATTGCCTCCACTGACTCAATTCAACAATACATGATTTGTGAATTATCAAACATATATTGAAAAGTATCAATCTATTCAACCTATCTTGTATGAGAAATAATTAGTATAGGCTTTGTATTGTGTTCGTTTGATGACTATTTTGTGCTAATGTATAATCTTAAATAATCAAAACAAGTTCAACTTTTACAACTTCTCATGTTAGACAAAGTGAACAATACATTTATGCGCATGTTTTCTCGTTTTTGCGGTTTCGCTATCATATAGCAAGGGGCGGACAACGCGAAATGGTCACAACCTGTCCCACTGTCCCAGGTTAGGGAGAGGATTGGTGCCTTCAAACTAGTTTAACCCCTCCACATTCTGTATGTGAGTGCCTATCCCAAGTTAAGAGCATGTTATTCAGTGGTTGTCGTTAATTGCTGTGTAACATATTTGTTTATCGTTCATTGTTTTGTACATACATTAGGCCGTTGATTTTCTCGTTTGAATTGCCCAAGTTTTACATTTGTCATTTCAGGGCCTTTTATAGTTGACTATACGGTATGGGTTTTGATCATTGTTGAAGGCCGTACAGTAACCTATAGTTGTTAATTTCTGTGTCATTTGGTCTCTTGTGGATAGTTGTCTCGTTAGCAATCATACCACATCTTCTTATTTTTATAGCAACCGGTCACTATAGCTTTTGCCTTTTGTCTAATCATTTCAGTTTATTTAAA